GTGGTGAGAGTGGACATCCTTATCTTGTTCCAGATCTTAATGGAATTGCTTTCAGCTTTTCACCATTGAGAATGATACTGGCTGTTGGCTTGTCATACATGGCCTTTATGATGTTGAGGTATGTTCCTTGTATCCCAAGAATTTCAAGGGCTTTTATCATGAATGGGTGTTGCACTTTGTCGAAAGCTCTCTCAGCATCTATTGATATTATCATATGGTTTTTATATTTCTTTTTGTTGATGTGTTGGATAACGTTGATTGATTTTCGGATGTTAAACCATCCTTGTGTCCCTGGAATGAATCCTACTTGGTCGTGGTGAATTATCTTATGGATACATTGTTGGATTCTGATAGCTAAAATTTTATTGAGGATTTTTGCATCAGTGTTCATTAGGGAGATTGGCCTGTAGTTTTCCTTTTTTGTGTTGTCCTTGTTCAGTTTTGGTATTAGTTTAATGTTGGCTTCATAGAATGTGTTTGGTATTGTCCCTTCCTTCTCAATTTTTTGGAAGAGTTTGTGAAGGATAGGCACTAATTCATCTCTGAATGTTTGGTAGAATTCATTTGTAAATTCATCAGGTCCTGGGCTTTTGTTTTTGGGGAGGTTTTTGATTACCATTTCAATTTCGCTGCTTGTAATTAGTCTGTTTAGGTGTTCTATTTCTTCTTTATCTAGCTTTGGGTGATTGTAGAGTTGTAGGAATTTGTCCATCTCCTCTAGATTGTTAAACTTGTTTCCATATAACTGTTCATAGTAGTTACTGATTATTCTTTTGATTTCTGCTGTGTCCGTTGTGATTTCTCCTCTTTCATTGATGATCCTGTTTATTTGTGCTTTCTCCCTTTTTTCCTTTGTGAGCCTGGCTAGGGGTTTGTCTATTTTATTGATTTTTTCAAAGAACCAGCTCTTGGTTTCATTGATCTTTTGGATTGTTTTTTTAGTTTCAATTTCATTTATTTCTGCTTTTGTTTTTATTATTTCTTTTCTTCTACTGCTTTTGGGGGTTTTTTGTTGTTCTTTTTCTAGATCTCTGAGCTTTGAGATTAGGTTGTTTCTTTGAGTTCTTTCTTGTTTCTTGATGTGAGCTTCTATTGCTATATATTTTCCTCTTATTACTGCTTTTGCTGCATCCCATACATTTAGGATATTGGTGTCCTCCTTGTCGTTCAATTCAAAGAATTTTTTAATTTCTTCTTTGATCTCCTCATTAGTCCAGTGGTCTTCCAGTAGTGTGGTTTTTAATCTCCATGAGGTAGGAAAGTTCCTTGCCTTCTTTTTATGGTTTATTTCTAGTTTGATGCCTTCATGGTCAGAAAAGATGGTTGATATGATTTCAATCTTGGTGTGTCTGTTGATCTTTGTCTTGTGCCCCAGTATGTGATTGATCCTGGAGAATGATCCGTGTGCGCTTGAGAAAAATGTGTACTCCGTTTTTTGGGGGTTTAGTGTTCTATAGATGTCTGTTAAGCCCAATTGCTCTAGGTCCTTATTTAGAGCTTTGGTTTCTTTACTTATTTTTTGTCTTGTTGATCTATCCATTGTTGATAGTGGTGTGTTGAAGTCTCCCACTACGTATGTGTTTTCTCTGATGTCTGTTTTCAGAGAGGACAACAGTTGTCTGATATATTTTGGTGCTCCTTCGTTTGGTGAGTATATGTTAATGAGTGTTATTTCTTCTTGAAGTATTGTCCCCTTATTCATAATGTAGTGACCATTGGGGTCTCTTTTTATCTTTTTAAGTTTGAAATCTGTTTTATCTGATATAAGTATAGCTGTTCCTGCTTTCTTTTTTGGTCCATTTGCTTGTAGGATTGTTTTCCATCCTTTAACTTTAAGCCTATTTTTATCTTTTGTAGCTAAATGTGTTTCCTGGAGACAGCAAAAGGTTGGGTTTTGTTTCTTAATCCAGGCTGCAACTCTGTGTCTTTTTATTGAAGAGTTTAGTCCATTTACATTTAGAGTTAATATTGATATGTTAGCATCTGTATTTGCCATTGTGTTTGTCTTTCCTTTGATTTTATTTATTTATTCTTTTAATAATTTTTTTTGGCCTTCTTTCATTGTTATTCGTCCCTCTGAGGTTCTGGCTTTTGGACTCCTTGTAGTATTTTTTGGAGTGGGGGTTTAGTTGTAATGAAATTCCGGAGTTTCTGTTTGTCTGGGAAGGTCCATATTCTTTCTTCAAAGAGGAAGGAGAGCTTTGCGGGATAGAGTATTCTTGGTTGGTGTCTGTTTTCTTGGAGTCTGTTGACTATGTCCCTCCACTCTCTCCTTGCCCGTAGTGTTTCTTCGGAGAAGTCTGATGTCAGCCTGATTGGCTTTCCTTTGAATGTTATCTGTTTCTTCCCTCCTGCCAGCTTCATTATTATTTCCTTGTCCTGGATTCTTGGGAGCTTTACTATTATGTGTCTTGCTGTATTTTTCCTTTCGTCATGGAAGTTTGGTGTTCTTCTTGCTTGTTGTATATCAATTTTCAGCTCCTTCTACACATTTGGGAAGTTCTCTTCAATTATCTCTTTGAATATTTTCTCTGTTCCTACACCTCTCTCCTCTCCTTCTGGTATTCCTTTAACTCTTATATTTCCTTTCCTCATGGAGTCAGATAGTTCCCGAAGTCTTTCTTTGTTCTTTTTCCTTGGTACTTCTCTTTCCTTTTCTGTTTTGGTTCTTTTTATTTCTGTGTCTTCAAGAGTACTTATTCGTTCTTCCATTTCATCTATTCTGCTTTCATTGCTTTTCCCAGAATTCTTTATTTCTTCCATTAATTCTTTGATCTCCTGCATTTCTTTTACTTCCCTCTTTAGGGACTCAATTTCATTCTTCTGACCATTGTTTTCCCTCTTTAGCGACTCAATTTCATTCTTCTGATCGTTGATTATTTTTCCCTTATCATTGTTTTCCTTTATGACTTCTGTCAGTTTTTTAATCACGGCAATTTTAAATTCTCTTTCTGGAAGGCTCAGAAGTTCTTCCAAGTTACTGTCGTTGCAATCTGGGGGCTGGTTTTCTTTTTGTGGTGTGCTTTTCCCTGGGGAGTTGCTAGGTTGAGTGTGGTTCTTCTACTCCCTACTGTCTGTTTTCTAATTTGCCGTATGTGTTGGGACACTGTGTTGTTGGGACTGGCCGGCATCTTGGGTGAGCTTCTCTGCGCCCCTCTGGTTCCTCCAGGAGCCATATGTCAGTTTCAAGCAGTCTTTACTGGAGAAAGGTCCCTGTTCTAAAATGCCGATGTGGGGACCCACTCCCCTGTGTGCCTGGTCTGCCCCCGCGGTGGGTTCCTGCTCCCCCTCTCGGCTTGGACTGCAGGCCAGAGGGGGTCTGGCGTGGGCGAACTTCCCCCGCTCACCTCTGGCTCCTGAGGAAGCCTTCTGCAGGTAGTCTTTACTGAAGTAATGTCCTTGTTCTAAAATGGTGATGTGGGACACACTCCCTGCACGTCCAGTCTCAGGCACACTCTTCTGCGCGCCTGGTCTGCCCCGGCTGTGGGTGCTCGCTCCCCCGTGGGCTCAGACTACTGGTCGGAAGGGGCCCAGCGTGGGCTAACTCCCCAGCTGGCCACTGGCTCCTCCAGGAGCCTCTGCTGGTTTCAAGTCGCTAGGCGGCGCCAGAGATCTCTCCTAGAGCCCTTGGGGAGCTGATTTTCCACCCCGTGGGACAGGGAACAGAGCGGGAATGGTAGGGTAAACCTCAACAGCTTTGGGGTGCTGTGTCTGCCTTGTGCCCCACCGTCGTGGGGAACCCACCCCCCTAATTTCGTGCCCCGGGTCTCAGTTCCAAAGCCCTCAGTTCCAGGATGCGGGCTGTAGCCCAGTTCAGTGGCGCAGGAATGGCGCCTTTTGAATCCCGCTCCCGTGCCTGGGCGCCTGGTTCCTGCTCACTCAGTGAGGGCCTCCGCGCCTCTCCCCGCAAGCCTAGGTTGCAGGCGCGGGGACCTGGGCAGCTGCGATCCGGATCTGCGTTTGCTTTTCAACCGCACTGCTTTTCCGCGCGATCCCGATTCCGATCCGCACTTGGTTTTCCAGCGCGCCTCTTTTCCAGCAATCCCGATCCCGATCCGCGTCTGCTTTTCCAGCGCGCGCCGCTTTTCCGCGCAAGCTTACCGGGCTGCCGGGGCTGTGTGCTGGTGCTGGTCTCCTCCTGGGCGGGGTCTCTCTTTAATGGTGCCTGGAGCTCACCACCGCGGCGGATCCTGCAGGGTTCTCCACAGCTCCCGTTCACGGGGTGTGGTGGCTGCAATAGTTCCTTTCCACTCACAGTCCCGCTTGCTGCGTAGTTTGTTCTTGTTGGTCCTTTTAGTTTGTTTTTTTTTTTTTTTCCTCCTCTCTGCTGGTCGGGGAGTGCCGACTTTGTCATAAATATTTTTTTTTAATGTAAAATATTAAAAAAAAAAACTTAAAGACGAATAACATTCTGGAAGCCAACAATAAGAAATGTAAAAGTCCATTCTAGTCAAATTAGTTTCTATAAAGTTCACACTCTCAAGCTCTTTTTTCACTCTAGGAGATAGTGATGATTGATTAAAATACAAAAAGGAGAACACTGGAAAGACTGAACTAAGTAAACAATTTCAGGAAGCAAAAGTGGGACAGAAATGTAAAGCAGTGAGGCCTGCTGCAGCCAGAGGCTACTGAGCTCTGGGTTTTATGAAAGTAGGGAGAGCTGGACATGAGTCTGGGTCTGAGAGTTTTCAGATATGTATGAATCTCAAAGTACTGTCTGACTATTGTCCATGATTACACACTCAAGCTGACTTTTACTCTGTAAAAGTGATGAGTTTCCATTTAGTCATACGAATCATCTTCTAGCAAAACTCATTTCATAAAGCACTTTAGTTCATATATTTCTCTGGATTCTTCCCACTTAGATTAGATTATTAGCCAAGTTAAATATATATGTGTATGTGTGTGTATATATATATATATATATTTACATATGTAAGTAAAACTTGGCTAGTATAACTATATACAATATAATTTTAGGATTTGGAAATTGTACTTACTTTTTTAGTACATCAAACATGCTTTTCTCTACGTTTACCAGCCACTGTTCTACAGCACTTCTTATACGAATTTTCCTATAATATTTTTCAAAAATAATACAATGAGGAATTATATTTTTATTCGTGTTTCATTCCCTTGGTAAGCCTACAGACACGTACACATGCTAAAGACAAACAAGTCCTTATACTAGAAGGACCTTGCTTAAAATAATTGCCTGGGAACCATTTATAACAAAACCAGCAGTCAGGGTAAGCAGCAGTGGGGAATAGTAACAATGACCCCAAGTAAATAGCAAATTTCCTTCTTATCTATGTTTGTATAATAAATCCTTTTGTTGACATTTAGAAGGTTAAATAAGTAAATACATAAATAAATGGGATGCTAAAGTTCTGCAAACATACATTATATTTGAAGAAAAAATTTGCTTTGCAAACTTCTATGAAATGTCAGATATTTCCAAGCACAGCTTTTACATAATCAAGTTTTATATAGTCTCAAATACTTCATTTATCACACATGTATCACACCCCATTTATCATCATACTCCATTTATCACACATGTGTCATACTTTGGCAGCAAAAGTGCTTCTCCTTCAGCAGAGATGAACATTACTACAACAGGAGGCCCAATTTCTTGTTTCCATATCAATAATTGATTTATATTTTCAAAACATTTCACAAGATGAGGCTGAGGACCAGAAACAAAAGTGAACATTATAAAATTCTTACCTAGTTGGAAAATAATACTGCTGAGCAGATAATAATGTTATTACCTGTATAGATTTCGGATTTCTGCTATTAGCTAGAATATCGAGAAGTTCAGCATTATTAAGAAAGTAAAATCGTGGGAAAACCATTCTTTTAATTTCAAGGTAGTCCTGTTTAGAACCAAAAGAAATGCAATTCAGTTTAATTATGATATTAGCCATACCATTCTTTGGGCCTCAATTACAAACAGAACCCACAATATAAAAGTGAGAGTATATAGTATTATCAGTCAAAATAAATCCCATCCTCAATGAAAGCATACTTGAATTGCTAAACAAATTTTTCATTAAAACTAACAACCAATAAAATTGCACTTATACACACTTACACACACTTTGTTCTATTACCGATTATTAATAAAACACTGTACTTGAGTATTACTGGCATTGTTTTCCCATGCTACCAACTCTCTGCTCTCATTTCCCTATCCAAGTCCTCACTTCAGCAGGTCATCTCACATTCTGTTGTCAAGACAATTCCTGAATTTTCATCCCTGCCCAAAACTTATCTTCATTCACACTAGTCTTAATTCTTTTCCTTCTATTCAGAGGAGAGATATCCATTCATTATAGCAAGCTAAGCTAACCTTGTTTTTAAATTAATCCTTTATTTTCCTTACTCTCCTATATCTGCAATTTCTCCTTTGCAATAGGATAACTTCTAAAACTGTCCTTGTTGAAAATATATAAGAAATCCCTCTCGCTTTGTTGTTCTTTAGCTACTATATACTTGGCCATCCATTCTCCACAAAGGTCTTGAAGAGATAATATATAAACTCAATGTCTTATTTTACTTACAGCTCAACCTCATGTCTGCCACGTGGCTCCTGCTGTTACTAGATCCAGTCTGCATGCTACATGATATTTTCATAGTATTTGACTCTGTGGACTCTGCCCTTTTGATGTCTGAGATTTCACTCTCTTGTTTTCCTTCATGCCTCAGTCAGTTATCATTTCTTTCAAGATCTCTCTTCACCCTTTACACTTTAATGTTGATATCTCTTGAGTTCCACCCTGATTACTCTTCCTAGCTTCCTTTAGAAACATGTATATCTATTATTCTTTTCATGAATCATTGATCCACACCCACTTTCTCTTTGACTCACATACACCCATCTTCTGATTGAAGATGTTCATTTGATTGTCTCATAAACATTAACTTTTCAGTATGTACAAAACTTGTTTCCACACACACTTTCCTCTCTTGTATCTCTACCTGGTAGAAGAATTATCTTCCAATGTGTTGGTCAAGCCAGATATCTAGGCACAAACCTAGACCTATTTCTTTTATCCTCTATTTCTCTACTTGATGCTCCTCGTACTACCTGCTTTCTTTCTCATCATGGTCTTTCTGCCTTTTAATTGATTTCTTTGTATCTGTTCTCACTGCCCCCAATCTCTATAGCCTCTATGCTTCCTTCCAGGGAGATATTTCTAAGTTAAATCATTTCATTCTCCTGCTTAAAATCCTTCAGTAGATATGCAATAAAGTCAAAATTCATTGTGATATTCAAGGGCTTCCATCACCCATTCTCTGCTTCCCTGGAGAATATTATTTTTTTCACCACTTTTCCACTTTCAACCTATGTTTCAGCTGTACCATCTTGGTTACAGCTCCAGAATGTGGCATGCTTGCGAATGACTCCATAGCTGCACTCTTCCCCTTGCCTAGCATGCTCTTTCTTCCTGCCTGCCCCTGCATACCCTGACTCTTTTACCTGGCTAACTCAACTACTTCATTCGAGATGCAGGTTAATTACCACTTTCCCTGCCTGAGTTAATTTCTCTTCTTTGATATGGTCACACCATCAAACTTACCATAGCACACATCATATTATAATAGTTCTACATTTTTTGTTTGCTGTAATAAATTTTTGAGTAGGGAGTAAGAGTGGAAAGTTGTCTTTTACCTTTGTAGTCCCAGCATCTATCATCAGTGCCTGGTGTAAAGTAAGTACTTGATACATGAATAAATGAAAAGCTCAATGGTTGTTAATTATGTTTAGTAGCAGTCCAAATATATTCTAGAAATAATTAGAAGACTTAGCTCAATGATCATTCAGTACCAGCTCTTAATAACCAGATCCCTGTGGGGCCTCCCGGGTGGCGCAGCGGGTTGAGCCCAGGGCTGTGAAACTGTCAGCAGCCTCTGCAGTGCCGGTTCAATTCCCACCAGCGGCGGAGCAGCCCACATGTTGAGCAGACCTCTCCTGGCTCGCCCGCTGCTACCCTCAGCAGTGTATTTCAGTAAATCTGCCTGTTCTGTTCCCCGCTCTGTCTCTGGTGAATCCTCTCACCTGCCCGCACATCTGGCCTGTACCCCGGTTCTTGTATAAATAAATTTTTTTTAAAAATCTTTCAAAAAAAAAAAAAAGGGCCTCCCCTGGTGGCTCAGTGGTTGAGCGCTGGGCTGCGAAGCTGTCCACAGCCTCTGCAGCGCCAGTTCAATCCCTGGCCGCCGGCCGAGGGTCCCACATGTCTCACAGACCTCTCCTGCCGCTCGCTGCTCCCCTCAGCAGTGTGCTTTGTCAGTCTGCCTGTTCGGCTTTTCACTCTGTCTCTGGTGAATTCTCTCACCATCCCATGTATTTGACTGTGCCCAGTGCTTGTATAAATAAATAAATAAATCTTTAAAAAAATAAATAATAATAATAATAATAACCAGATCCCTGTGAATGTAGTCCCTCACAATTGCCCAGGCCATGGATTTATATACCAGGGGGTCTTCTGGGTAGAAACCCTTCTATTGGCTGCAACTGCCATATGCACATACTCTGTCTGGATGGGTCATCACAACTAGTCAGACTTGTGTCCATCTTGGAAAATAGATGAATGAATACCTAGGGGAAAAATCTTTGTTTATGAAGTGAATGTGTTCACCATGAATCTAAAATATTAAAAGCCAGTAATCAAAATTATGTGTCTGGCTGAGAATTTGATGTTCTGAAAGTATAGTAATGTATGAAATCAATAATTTAATTATAAAATGATAAAAATATTCAATTTCAACTTTTGCTGATTTTATTAACAAAATAATTATAGTGGTCATAAAAATAGTTGGCACTCATTAAGTACTTTCTTTGTGCCAACTCTCTGCTTTAAATGCATTCTCTCATTTGGCACAAAGTTTCTCAAAATAGGCACTATCGTTATTCCTAGTTTCAAGATAAGGAAACCTAGGCACTTAAAATTTGGTACACTGCTGTAGGTCAGTTAGATTGGTCCATCCACTTTTTTCCCTTTTGATAGTATTCTGTAGATGGTAAGAGTTTGAAATACTGTTAGCAGCTAATAAAGAAAATCTGCATTAAATTATTTTCCTCAGTTAGGTGCATAACATTTTTATAAAATTAAATGATTCTCCACCTTAGGATTGCTATAGTTTTACCTCAAGACTCTTCTTTATATATTCAAGATTCGTATTGCAACTTTTCAGAGTTTCAATAACTCTTTGAGAAGTGACTAGTCTCAAAGCATTCAGTTTGTTTTGTATTTTTAGCATTATTTCTTGCCACATGAAAATCACTCTGGAGAAGAGATCTGCTTCTGATGGGAGCTGCCTTTAGAAAGAAAATTAGAGATAATTTTTTGAAAGCACTATAGTCAAAGTCTATAATACAAAATGCATTAGTCACAAAAAATTGCTCAGTTTACAAAATGTTATGAAATGCTAATCAATCATTAATCAGAGATATATTTTGAATGCTTATTATGTGCCAGTAATAAACATGCTAGGAAACACTAGAATCAATTAGCTATGCATTCATCATTTAACAAGGGTATGTTTAGGCATAAGATAGATATAGAAAAGTTGTAAATAAAGAATGTAGAAGTCATCAACACCCTAGGAAAGGTAACAAAAGAAAGGGTTACTAAGATTCTAGGAGGAAATGGGATCTGGAGAGAGGGTCTGAGAGAAGCTATTGGGTCTGGTTTCTAAAGGAGAAACAGTGATTTCACCTGAAGAGAATTACAGAGAAGGGATCTTGCTTAGCAGCAAGAGTTTAGAGATTTGATTTGTATAAGAAAATATAATTTCTATTAGTGATTATCTAATCTTAGAGGATAAGATAAAGTAGGCTCAGTAGAGGTAAGGGAATTTTCCTTTACAGAATATAATCATGATTTTCTCCCCTTGGAAAAAGGAAGCCAGAACTACACATGTCATGGTAATTCATCGATATGTTAATTGATATCTGCTGTTGGGGTTAAGTGAAGAAGTATGTCCAATGGTCTTATTCTTTCATTTCTCTACTCACCTCTATTTCCTACTTCCATCCCACACTAGTCCCAACCTGATTCAAACTTCTCATGGTTTGGAGATTGAGATAAAGAAAAATTAGAGGGAAAAAGTTATTGTTATTATTATTTGCCTACATTTAATAAAATTTTATTTATTTACTTCTAATTTCCAAAACTATATAATTCACACCTTGAAATGTGTACATGCTCCAGTCACCCATCACCAAAGCGCCAGTGCCACTACCTCCAATATTATATTCTTAAGCCTATAGGTAGGATTGTTGTTGACTATCCATTAAAGAAAGGATTTCTCAAGGATTACAGAAAATAAACTACCCACTATGAATTTTTTCATCTGTATATGGTGTAACTTAAATGTGTTACCTTCGAATTTCTAATGAATTAAAGATTGGTTCAAGGTAAAGCCAATTTCTTTGGCATTTCATGCATGACTCAAGAGTGCAAGAGAAGAGTGCCAAGTTTATGTCCCATGCATGCACAAGATCCTACAATGATAAAAACACACAGACATGCAAATCTAAATATATGATGTTACTCTGCATCACATAATAGAATTTCAGATCAAAGGTAATTTTGCCACTGACATAAAGTAATTAATAGAGTGACATATAAGTGAATATAAATCTAGTTTTAGAATTTAGTTTTGGAAGAAGTTAGAGGTGTCTTGTTCATCCAATTTTCTGTCTTATTTAGTATTCAATATACAAATATTTTGGTATATATACTCTCAGTCCATTCTTTAAACATCTTTGCACACTTGTACATGTAATACCTTTAAGTTTGCATAAATGCAACCATATTATACATATTGTTCTGTGACTTGCTTTTTCTTTTACCTACTAGTCTCTTTTGGAGAGGTTTTATGGTAGTACAGGTTCTCTTCATTCTTTTAATTTCAGCAAATTCCATTGAATAGCTAGATCTTTTTCCACTAGTATATTACAGTAATGGGAAAATGGTTAAAAACCAAATAATATTGAATGCTACATTATTGCTTAGCCACATCTCAGAGGATTAGGAAACCACAAAATTGTTTGAGACATTTTGGCTGAGGAGGTGGTCTAGGGGAGGGGCTCACTGTGCATTCCTACTACACAACTCAGATACCTGCTACAGTGCAGGTAACATGAAACTTCGGTGCTCACTGGATGGAAGCTTTTGGTGCCCTCCTTCCCCAGTCACTACCTATTTCCCCATATTGGCAGGAGTGCTGGTCATCTAAGCAGGTGCAGAGGCATCAGTCTATAATATAACAGACACCAAAGATCCTGGTAAAAAAATCTAGAATTAGACCCAGCACCCAGGAGGAGAGATATCAAGTCAACAAAGGAAGCTTCTTATTACAATCCATGAAAACTAAAAATGAATAGAAAGAATGTACCACAAATGCTGGAGCAAAAAAAAAAAAACCTGAACAAAGTTTCACTACAGCATTAACTACAGAATCTGTCTGGTAATTTTAAGGGAACAACTAGTTACAACCACCCTTGTCAAGTCAAGACAAACAATGGATGATAAGAAACAGGAACACAATAAAGACTGAGAAAATGTAAGACTGCAACAAATAGAATTAATGGATCTAAAATGGATTTCTAATTTAAAAAGAGAGAAAGAGCAACCTTATTACACTGTCACATATTTCTTGGTTACTTTAAAATTGCCATTTTGGGTGACTATTTTTTATATTGTTTCTCTAGGTTTTGCTTTTTTTCTGCTGTTTGTTTTTGTTTTCCTGCATGAGTTAGAGAACATAGTCAATTTGGTTTACCCTATTATTTATAGTTAGTTTTTTCTCTAAGGCTCTGTTGACATTTTCCCAAAATTTTGTGTATTTGTAAATGATGTGAATGCCATTTGTTGTGTACATATTTCTTTTACTCTATATAGCCAGTCAATAGTCAATTAATATTTTCAGAATTAAATATCTCTGTGTAATTATCTTAATTAGTTCCCTGAAGTTTTTAAATGATCCTTAGCTATGTTATTACTGTGGGGCTGCCCAAGATGGACAGTCAGAGAACAATGGATGAATACAAGCAGACCCTCTGGTGTAATTCCTAATTATACTAAAGGAGATGTGGAGGCTGCTGTCTATTCTAAAAATAATGCAGATATATGAGGTAGGATTAAGAGCATAAGCAGAGGAAATGAAAATAAAGCAATCCACCTCTGCAAGTAAAACGTCAAGGCAATGATTTTGGCATAGATACTGCTAGAACTGTGGCTTTCCAGCAGTAGGTAAAACATTGCTAGTAAAAGTCATGGTTTATAAGGTCATATTTTTATATGCTCTAAATTTATCTGTCTGTGCAAATTAAACTCATATTTCCTCATGAGCAATTAAAATTCAACATCATCTCTACATTAGCACATGAATGATTAATACAGTTTGTTTGCAGAATGTAAAATTTTAATGGTAAATAAAACTATATTCAATTCAAACATTTTCCCTTTGCCATAATATTTACCTTAATAGGTCCAAGATGGGCAGATCCTTTAATTGTTGCAAGTATGATTTGAGACTCTTCTAATTGAGCTAACATTGCATCTATAGATGAAATTATTAGGCTAGAGTAAGTCTCCGTCTGATGAAGAACTAAATGCAAAGGAGTGGTGTTCCAGAGCTCAATGACTTTATTGAGCATTTTTTCAAGAGCAGCTTCATTAGTTGCTGCAGTTGATATTTTGCTTATTTCTTTTTCATACTGAAACATCTAAAATGGAAAAACTTTTTTAACATCCAGTGGAGCAAATCACCCCTGATACATTTAAAATAGAAGGGTTAAATGAGCACGTCTAATGTACACCAGGAGTATAGAAGATGTGCTTCCAGTTAGGTTTATGTCCTATCAGAGACTTCATGGCCTAACTTTCATGACATAAACCTTTTCAGTTTTTATTCATCTTTTTTTTTAAAGATTTATTTATTTATACAAGAACTGGGGTACAGGTCAGAGGCACGGGAGGGTGAGAGAATTCACCAGAGAAAGCGGGGAGCAGAACAGACAGACAGACCGAAGACACTGCGGAGGGGAGCAGCAGGCGAGGCAGGAGGTGTCTGCCGCACCATATGAGAATCTTCCTGGTTGGCCGGGAATCAAACCCGCGCTGCAGAGGCTATGGACAGCTTCACTGTGCAGCGCTCAACCCACTGTGCCACTGAGGAGGCCCATTATTCATCTATTTTTAATCATACTAACTATACTCATGCTCAGTGAAAACTTCTAAACACAGTATTTATTTCTTGATTCCAGTAAGTGTGAAAAGTTACCAGTACCTTTAGTATATATAAATGAGACATATGGTATCACTTCCTTCAACTTACTCTGCATTAATGCCACCTGCTCAATTCCTTTGTGACATGCTTTTACTTTCTAAAATAATTCTTGGGCTATAATGATCTGAGAGAATGTAACTTTAATGGACCCAGGTCTCTGCAGCTTCCCTTTATTTGCCATATCTATTTGAAGGTAAAGGTTTGCAGAATATATTAGTGGAATACTTCTAGATCTTTTTGTCATGTGCACTGACTGTTGATTCCTGTAGAAAAGATAGTTTCTCATTCCAAATCTTGGAATTAACTATCTGCGCTGATTGTTTTTACCCCGAAAAAAAGTCCTATTCTTTTAGAGAAGGTAATACTGCTCCTATATGTCATCTATATGAGGTTAAAGAGTGTTACCTAATCTCTATGTTTTGGTAATGTAGTTCAGTGAGGATGATGATTAACCAGGATTAGTCTTCATCATCTCTCTTATGAATGGAAACAGTCGACTGCTCCTGACTAAGTTAACAACTTTGGGAAAGAAGTCTGCCTCTTGACACACATTTTCCAGTCAAAGGCAAATAAGGGCCATGAAGTTTCTGTGTTGAAGAACTTTGTGCCTAATGATGACATTCTGAAACTGCTAAAAAGAGATACAGAAACTGATTAACATACAAAGAAAATTTTCAACCAAGTGAATCTAGCCTTGTCAAATCTCTGTGGCCAAAATTTGGGACCTCAATGATAAACAGATTTTCTGGGAGGTTTGAGATGAATCTTAATGCCTATAATAGATTATTTGCCTCTGTTATAAAGCACATGGCTTTCTAAAACGAAAACTATCAACCCTAAGATGATTATGTTCTTCTTATGCATATCACTGACCACTTCCTCTTCACTTACTTTGTGACATGCTTTTCAAGTCACATGTTTTTCTGAGCTTGCCTCACATCTTGGACCAAATGGTTATAAGATCATCACATAAGAAAGCCAGTATTACTGTTTTCTAGTCACTTAGATAGTAATGGCATAATGAATAGTTTCCCCGACATCCCCAATTAAACATAATTTCTGGGCTTCCCCTGGTGGCACAGGCATTTGAGCTCCGCACAGTGAAGCTGTCCGCAGCCTCTGCTGCGCTGGTTCGATCCCAGCCAGGCGGCAAGGGTCCCACATGGCACAGCAGACCTCTCCTGTTGTGCCCGCTGCTCCCCTCAGCAGTGTATTTTGTCAGTCTCTCTGTTCTGTTCCCTGCTCTGTCTTTGGTGAATTCTCTCACCCTCCCGAGAATCTGGCCTGTACCCCGGTTCTTATATAAATTAATAAATCTTTATTTTTTTATTTTTATTTTTTAAAGATTTATTTATTTATTTATACAAGCACTGGGTACAATCAGGAGCGCAGGAGAGTGAGAGAATTCACCAGAGCCAGAGCGGGGAACAGAACAAGCAGACTGATGAAATAGACTGCTGAGGGGAGCAGCAGGCATGGCAGGAGAGGTCTGTGCACCATGTGGGACCCTCACTGGTGGCCGGGGATCAAACTGGTGCTGCAGAAGCTGTGGGCAGCTTTGCAGCCCAGCGCTCAACCGCTGTGCCACCAGGGGAGGCCCAATGAATAAATCTTAAAAAAAAAAAAAACATAACTTCTTCTCACCTATTGTCTAAACCTGCTTTCCCAGCCCATAAACTTCTCCTTTTTCTAACTCCATTCTTCAAAGATTGACTTGCCTACTTAATATTGGCCTTTTTTGGCTATTTCTTTCAAACTATTTCTATTTACCTTGAGGGTTACAAGATTTTCTACTGTGCAGTTTTTATCAAGAGAAATTGAATTTCCAGTAATCTCCTGGATAGCCTCCCAATGCCGTGGCCTGAGACAGGGGTTTCCCAGAGCAATGAAAACAGGCAGCTCTTGTTTAAAACCCATCACTGAATGTTTAAGATGTTTGACGACGTCATTTTTTGGTAAACCTATAAATAACATTTTTTTAAACCAGAAAACAAATTTGTGATTTAATGTAATACCAGTTTATTAGTTATCAGTCTACATGAAAATAAGTTTTATTAACCTTGCCTTACCATAGGAATCAACTATAGATTAAAATAAAGAGAAATAATTATGAGAATAGTGATAAAAACCAAAGACCTTTAGACCCTTGAGAACTAGAAGGACTGAAACTATGCTTATATTCTTGAATATCCAATTTGTTTAGATGGGCCCTCTTTTTATAAAACCATGTTGACTAACCAAAATGTTTTTTAAGACTTGGTTAAGTAAAAAAAAAAAACAAAACAAAACCAAGAGAATAACATTGAGTTTTACGTTTTACACTCTGGCAAACAACAGGCCTTAATCTAGGAAACTTTGGGGGAAAAGAAGGTGTTGTCTACTTGTTACTTTATATATGATTCTCTGAAACAGATATAAAGCATGACTTTAGGAATGCACAAAATGAGTGTTAAAGCAGTGGGACCATGAGACTTGTTTCTATTTTTTTCTCTTTTCTAACTCTGTGATACCGTTATATTTCTTGTATAATTTAAAAACATGCAAAATATAGTTTTTCTGGAAAGGGAATTATATCTTGAAGAATAAATGAGAGATAAAGGAATTTAAAAAGCAAAAACTTTCTTTGGGAAGAAAAAATTTTCTTTTGGAAAGGATATAATGTCACAGAATGATTACACAGAAACACCATTGGCAAAATTTCAAATCATACAAGAATTTGAGTGAAAAGCCTGCAGGTCAGCTCTTATCATCAAAATATCTCTAGATTCTCTGACTCAAAGAAGATCCAGAATCATAAGGGATCAATTTTTAAGTGACACAAAAATTATTATTAATTACTATTTAAAACTTCATTAATGGTCAGCGCAAGGGAAGAGGGAAAGAAAAACTGCCAAGGACAATGATCTTGCTGGCTCAGAGGCAACTTAAAAAGACACTTTTACCTTTTTCTAGTACAAAGATTTTTTGCATCCATTTTGAAACATTTCTTTGTACTGAGGTTATATCAATACTGGAAAGAGTACTACCCCTCCATTTGCAAAAGACTGCTCCCCATTCCTCTTGTGCATTCCATAGTATTTTCCTTAAGGTTAAGTCATATTCAATGTCTGAGATCTCTGAAATCACAATCTGTATAATCTCTTCAATATTCAGAGACTGTATTTGAGATTGGCAATCAATAAAGCAATTTTGAAAGCTTGAACAGGTTTTAGCTTTGTTAGCTAAACTTGCAGTTTCCTGTGAGAGAGTCTGGATCATTTCCTTTGCTGTTGACACTCGAGTATGGCTGCACAACAGAACAGGATTTCTTACCTAAAAAATAATAGCAAGACATTGTAAGAGATCACCAGGTTCAGAGTTTAAACATATTTTATTGACAGAACTTCAGTATTCAGTCTAAACTCTGACATGATTTGCATCCATAATGTGAAAATGTGGTGCTTAATTTATATGTGTTTATTAGGATTAACTTATTTAATTACTATTACTATTAGAATGGGTACTGTTCTATCTATAATTTATTGTGTATCTTCTCAGTGGTAAGTAACACAATACCTCACCAATTAAATCCATACAACAATCTTGAAGTTGGTTAATACTTTTCTCAATTTTTCAAGGAAGTTCTGACATAATAAATCATTCATAAAATGATAAGTTGAGGTTCTAGGGTTTGGCCCTCTGACAGCCTGACTCCAAAGCCCATTACCTTATTCTGGTCTTATTGAATTTTGTAATACTTAGATGTTGTAGAGTTTATTAGAGTTTTATGATTGCACATGACATTGTGGACATTTGCAACAATGACCCCTAGGTTGAAATGAAAGTAAAATTTGCCTTAATTTGTCCCTTACTAAACTGTACTTACATAGTCTGTGGATTCCAGTTTAAGAATACTTGAATTCAATTGTTTACTAAAAATTTCACAGAAAACAAAAATTTACATGCTTAAGACTTACATAACACTAAGATCAAACTGATTTTTAAAGAAAAACAAGAACTTACTTTGGCCTTTAAATTACTAACATCAGCCCGCAGACCACTGACATATGTTTCTAGATTGTCTCTGAATTTAGCAAGAGCAGCCTCTTTCTTTGCTTCACTTAACTTCACAGCAATTTTCAGTTGACCAAACTTGAAAAGAAGAATCTTATATAAGGCTCTTTCCTCTTCTGAAATATGGATCTGGAAATGCTTTATAACAGAATGCAATTCAGTAATCGATAAGCACTCTCGTTCTAACTCAGGTAATTTTGAGGAAATCACACCCAAAAAAGTAAAATGTTCCACAAATTCTTCTATTTCAACAGGGTCCTGTTCCAGCTTCTGCACTGATGAGTCTACAATCTGAAATCATTACCACATCAGTTATAATTATATAATTATGTTCACTATTTTAAAAGACTACTGTTTTAATATTACTCTCCAACTTAATATTACTCTCCAACTTTTCAGAAAAAAACAAAGATATCATCTAGACATTATTCTAAATATTGTTTAAATATGGGCATAGTAAGATGATAAAATCCTTTCTATTGTTAACAACAGGAACTTGAATGTACATAAAATAAATACTACTAAGACATAAGAAAGTACGATTATGAATAATTTTGTTTCTAAGAAATAAAATAACAATAGAAAAGTCATGACTAAGCTGTGAACACTGCATAAAAATTACTACATTTTAAGAACATTTATTTGCTAAATACTTTATAAACATTTTACTTTGTCCTGGTAACATGTTTGCTAATTATTATTTTCTCTAACTTACACACTGAGTCTTAGAGGGATTAATTAGACTAAGATCAAAAGTTTAGAGTTACAGAGTTATTATTCAAACCTAAATCTGATTCCAAATCCCACTTGTATCCATTATATGTATAAAATCTACACTTTTCCTAAGTATATGTGTGTCATATGAAATTCTGAATTGCTTATCTATGCTCAAATTATAACTGATTATATTTTCCTCATGTTCCACTGGTTTTTAATGAATACTCATGAATAACTTTACAATCAGTCCGTTCAGTTTTCAGTATCTCAGACTTGAATTAATCTCTGTTTTTAATTTCCAAATTCTTTGTTATTTCATTATAAAACAGATGCCTATGTAAACATTGCAATACAAAGCAGTTCATAAAGTAGAAAATACCTATTATTCCATCACCCAAAGATAACTGCTGTTAACCCATCAGAAATTTTACTGTGGTCTGAGTGTACACATACATATACATTTGCATATACATTTTAATCACAGGATTTACAAGAACAGGCTTTAAAATCAGAGAGACTTGTATTTGAGTCCCAGCTCCAAAATTTAGTAAGTGTAAACCAAGGCAGGTAGCTGTATTTCATTAAAGTTAGTGCCCTCCCTGCATCCTTATGTTTATAGCAGCACTATTTACAATAGCAAAGCTTTGGAAACAACTCAAATGCCCAAAAATAGATGACTGGATCAAGATGTGTAAATATTCCATTTACACCATGGAATATCACTCAGCAATCAAAAAAGATGAACACATGCATTTTGCAGCAACATGGATGGAGCTAGAAGGGATCATGCTCAGAGAAATAAGTCAGAAAGAAAAAGAAAAATACCGGATGGCCTCACTCATAGCAGGAATTTAGAAAACCTAAATAAGGGACCAGGAAAAATACTAATTAATACAAAGTAAAAATCAAAATCAACAAGCAACTATAAACCAGAGACACACTACAGGGCGGGGGAAAGGGTAGGGGGTGGGGGGAGGGGCAGTGAGAGAAAGGACTAAGGTCAAAATAAGGGGGGGTGTAATTGTATGAGGAATATAACCAAAATAAAAATGCATACCTTGTGCAAAAATGAAAAATGATGTAAGAATTATGTAATATAAAATATTAAAAAATAAGAAAAAAGTTGGTGCCCTCATACGTAATGTTGAGAAGCAAATTACATAACATAGGTTTCTAAGGGCTCCTGCCATAAGTTAGTGCATTGAAAATGATCGAAACAGCAGATTGAATAAGACCACATAGTAACCTTCCATCTAATAAACACATTTAATCCTTTCTTAGAATACTGTAGCATTAAACACTATTAAACATTCCCACTTCTCAAAATACTCTTTTGTTTTCATCTTAATCTCTTCAGTCACTCCTTCCCAATATACTGTGCTGGGTCCACTTCCTCTGGCAATTCCTTGTATGTTGATAATTCTCAAATTTCTGTTATAGGTCCCTTTTTATTCTCACTATACACATAATCAGGACATTCTTATTGACCCCAATGATTTCAATGGCCACCTTTACATTGATCATTTAAATATTTATTTCCAATTTAGACTCTCTCCTGATTTCCAGACATTTTACAAAGACTGCATTCCCTTTTCCAGTGAATTGAATCACAATTTATCCTGTTGCTTAACCAAAAACCTAAATACATTCTGAATTACTATCTTTCTTTATAGTCAGTCAATCACTAAGTCCTACTGATTCCACCTCCTAAATGTATCTCAAATGCACATACTTCTCAAAGTCCATATTGTTATTGCCCTAGTTCAAGCTTTCATCACCTCTCACCTAGATTACAGAAACAGCTTTCTCCTGTCTTGTCCCTATTTAATCAGTTCTTTGCACGGCAGCAAGAGTGCCCTTACAAAATTACAAATTGCTTTCAGATCTTACATCCAAGTCTTGTATCCATTTTGAATTGATTTTTGTGTATGGTGTGAAGTAGTGGTCTTAATTTATTCTTTTGCATATGGCAGTCCAATTTTTCCAACACCATTTATTAAAAAAATTTTTCTAGTTCAGTGTATATATTTTTTGCCCCTTTGTTGCATATTAGCTGTCCATATATTTTGAGTTTATTTCTGAGTTCTAAATTTTATTCCATTGGTCTGTGCACCTGTTTTTATAACAGTACTATGCTATTTTAATTATTATGAGTTTATAATAATAATAATGCCACCATTTTCCCCTTCTTTTGTCAGAATGGAATGCTGCTCAGTGACCAAAACAGATAAAGCCATGCCATTTGTAGCAACAGGGATAGAGCTGGAGGGATTATGCTAAATGAAATAAACCTAGAAGAGAAAGATAAATTCTGGATGGTGCCACTTATAGGTGGAATATAGAAAAAACAAACAAAGAGTGAGACCAAATAAAACCTTTAAAAACCAACTCTTGAAAACTGACCATAGATCTGTGGCTTTCAGAGGGGGGGAAGGGAGAAAAGGGCAAGAAAGGGACCACAATGGACCCTAGCACAGGACTACTGGTGCCTCAGTGGCAGGAGCACCAATGCTGTGATGAGCTATGGGAACTACACATGAGGGGGGAAATCCTATCTGTCAAGAAACTACAATGACGTGGAACAATGGTACTTAAATGACAATAAAATACACAGGAAAAAAAGGGGAAAAAATCTACAAATTGCATCGTTTCATTTCCCTGCTTCCTTGCAATGGTTTCCAACAGGGAAAGGAGGTGGAAAGTGACATGGGTACAATTTCAGACACAGTGGTCAGAGAACTTTACTTGGGCAAGTAATATTTCATTATGGCCCAAACAAATGTCACACATATTAGAAGTGTCTGAGGATAATAATAATCAAGTATGCTTCTTAAATATATATTTTAAAATTATTATCTACTAATCTTAAATATTATCATGCAATAGGAATTTTCAAAGTACTTACTTTCAGCAGATTTGTATTCTTTTTTGTAATTATAGATTGCAAGAGGTTATGGCTTATACATATGATATTATCAACATATGGTAAGCATTCTGACTGATAATCAAGACTTAGAACCTTGAAAATGCCAATACGCTTCTCAATGACCATATCAGCAATATATATAAGATAGTTCCTGAATATATTTAGTATAGTTTTAAACTGTGTTGAAGTCAGTTCTTCCATAAATGATAGTTTTGTCATCATGAGTTTGGACTTCTCTACTATGGTACAGTATTTTAAAAACTTGTGGCTATAAACAGTAACTAGGCCCATTGAATCACCAATAATAGTCAGGAGACTCACAATCTAAAAAGAAAAATGTTCAAAAGTCAGATTTTTTAGAGTACAAAATGTATAGTAAAATATGCAAGTAGTTAAAATATTTAAAATAGTTTATGTGGAGTTTATTTCATTGAGAACCACTACAATTGACTTTTCTATATTGATGTTTATGTGAAGGCTTAGAAGCTATTCAACTTCATAATTATATTATTTTGAGCCATGTATTAAAATATACCATTCATTTGTTCCTTTGCTTTAACCCTGTTTTAAGATACGTATGATCTATGCAAAGCCCCCCCCCACCAAAAAAACAGTTCTATAGTTTATGTGGCCTTACCCAATTCCCAAGACACACCTACTTTAAGGGGGTAGAATCCTGATCCAATGTAAAAAAAAAAAAATTTAAAAACTAAATTCTCTACTGAATTGAACAAAAAGACACAGTTAGATGGTAATGGGAAAGACTGCAGCCATGTCAAGTCAACATATTGGCAAGCCAATATTGAGAGACCCATAATAAAGAAAGCTCATTTTCATAGTATAAGTGGGAAAAAACACATAGCAGTGAACAGATGAATGATAATGAGAAAGACACATAAGGAGATAATCTGGGGATAATTTTCTAATTGCCAAAAAATATGATATTATAATTTTTCAATAAATTCCATTCACCTAAAAATATCAGTGGGTTTCTGCTCCAAATACTTCCTAAGACAAACTGTTTTTAAACTTACTTTATTTTGGTAAGAAGTATCCATTTCAAAAAGTTTCTGACAATCTGGCCATCTGGCTTGCTTCTTATATTCTATTTCACCTTCTGTCTTATTAGATAAATCCACAGTTAAAACCGAATTAGTGAAGATAGATAGGCGGGGATCTTGGCAAAGAGGAATAATTGTGGCTAAAATATATAATTCAGAAGTTAATAGTTTCAGAAGTTCTAATAAAAACAGTACCTTAAAATTATCCATGATATCTAGGGCTATTGAAAACCAAGACTGATTTATTATGAGAGTTACTTAACATTCTATACTGATAAACAGAATTTAAAGGCAGGTATAACCATTTGGATTTAACATGAAAAAAAGAATCACTCATAGATACCTGGATGGTGGTGATGGAAGGCATGATTAAAACAGAAACTAGAATAAGCATTAAGTAAACAAGTATTTGAAATGCATCTGCTATGTGAAGAACAATGCACCACCATAAGTATAAAAAGATAAGACACGAGCCTCCCCGGTGGCGCAGCAGTTGAGCGCTGGGTTGCGAAGCTGCCCAAGGCCTCTTCAAGCGTCAGTTCAATCCCCGGCTGTTCCCCGGCCACCGGAGGAGGGTCCCACATGGCACACAGACCTCTCCTGCTGCCTGCTGCTCCCCTCAGCAGTGTACTTCGGTCCTTCTGCCTGTTCTGCTCCCCGCTCTGTCTCTGGTGAATTCTCTCACCCTCCCGCGCTTCTGACTGTACCCAGCGCTTGTATAAATAAATAAATAAATCTTCAAAAAAAAAAAAAAAAAAGAACAATCTTTAAAAAAAAAAGATAAGACACAACCTTTACTGCCTAGATGAACAACTGTACATTCATAAAAGGAAAAAGAACTTTGATTTACTCTTTACACATAAGTCAAAAATCATCTCAAGAGGAATCACATGCGAAAATAAAATAACATAACTCTATAAATCTAAAAGAAAACATAGGAAAGAGTTTTTAGATACAAAATAAAGCTATAATCCATAAAATATAAAAATTGATAAGCTATACTTTATCAAAATTAGAAAGTTTAGTTCTGTAAAAAGAATGAGAAGATAAGGTGCAGACTGAAAAAAAATTTTCAGATACAAATCTTGTAGCTAATATGAGACTTGTATCTAAAGCACAAACTCAACAAAAATAAACAAATACTCCAGTTTTAAAAAATAAGAAACAGGGGCCTCCCTGGTGGTGCAGGTGGTTGAGTGCAGCACTGTAAAGCTGTCTGCAGCCTCTGCAGTGCCGCTTCAATCCCTGCCGGCCGTGGAGATACCCACATGGCGAGCAGATCTCTCCTTTCTTACCTGCTGCTCCCCTCAGCAGTGTATTTCAGTCAGTCTTCCTGTTCTGTTCCCCACTCTGTCTCTAGTGAATCCTCTCACCGTCCCGCACATCTGGCCTATACCCCAGTTCTTGTATAAATAAATAAATCTTTAAAAAAAAAAATAAGAAACAGACATCTCCATCTCACCCCCCTGCTCCCTTGAAGCATATTTCAATAAATCTGCCTTCTCTGTTCAAAAATAAATACATAATATTTAAAAATAAAACTAAAAAAGCAGATCTAAAGAGATATTTGACCCAAAGAAGATATACATGAATATATGCATATAACGAGCATGTGAAAACATGAACAATATCATTAGTCATTAGTGAAATGCAAATTAAAACCACAAAGAATTATTGCCACATATCTATTAGAATGGCTGATTTTTTTTTTAAAATCAGACAATGGCAAGTGCTAATAAAGATGCAGAGCAACTGGAAGTCTTATACATGGTTGGTAAGAATGCAAAATGATAAACCTCTGTAGTTCTTAAAAATTAAACATAATATTTTGTATTAATTTTGTATTTTAAGAACTACAGAGAAGGGGAAAGGAAGGAATAGGGTCAAAATAATGGGAGGGGGTGCAATTGTATGGGGAATATAACCAAAATGAAAATGCAAACGTGCAAAAATGAAAAATGATGTAAGAATTATATAAAATAAAATATTAATAAAAAATAATAACAATACAAAATACAGCAAAACAAAACAAAATAAAAAAAAATTAAACATAATACCTACCATATGAATCAGCAGTCCCACCTCTGATTATTTATCCAAGACAAAAGAAAACTTACACTCATCAAGAAACCTGTATGTGAATGTTTGTAGCAGATTTATTTATAATTGCCTCAAAATGCAAACAACCCAGGTGTGAATGGATAAAAAAGTGCTATGTCCAGATAATACAACTTCATTAGTAAAAATGAGCATACAATATTACAGATGCATTTTAATTTATTCATTTGTTTGCATTGAGGCAATATGGGTTTATAATCATTGCATATTAAAAGCATAGGCCCCCCAATCAGTTTTACGTGGGGCCCACCACCAAGACACACATCATCCATTCTGCTCTCTTCCCACCATGCTCTAGTCACCCCCTCTCCCACTCTGGTAACCTCATTTTTAAAGTAACATAGGCAAATTTTAAATGTTTCTTTTGTAAGTGAAAGAAGCCAAATCCAAAAATCTACATATCAATTTATATAAAATTCTGGAACAGGCAGAACTATAAGGACACAAAACAACAGTTGCCAGGATAAGGGGGAGAGGTTGACCGGAAAGAGGCAACATAGAGGAAGTGGCAATGAAGGAACTGATCTGTATGGAACTGTGATGGCAGATGGCAGATATATGATTGTCAGATCCGTACAACTGTACACCATAAAGAGTGGTAAGCACAATACCCTGTCATGCTGTAACATAAAAGATACTGGCTATTTGTTGAAGGTCTCATAAAATTCCTGTTGATACAATAAAATACACTGTTGAAACAATTCAAGTCTTGAGTTATTTCCCCAAATTTTATGCATTCTATGACTATGTGTCAAATTTATACACTCTCAAATAATTCCAAATTCACATTGATTGGTCCCAAGAAGGCAAATTTATTATCTAATGTAGCAAATGTCTGCCACATTCCTTTGTAAAAGTACCAGATGTCTAAATCTACGAAAACATTTCCAGAGAAGACAATGAATACACACTTTTAAAATACTTACTTATACATTTTTCAATATCTGCCACCATATTTTGAATTTTTCTTGAAAACTCCAATCTGTTGGGAGTTATAAAGAGATTTGTAGGGAATTGTGATAATCTAAAAAAAAAACATAAAAGCATAGTTCAGAAGAAAGTAGTAACTAAAATAAAATACAATTATTTATAATTTCAAAAATGTCTGATACTTACTGATCACATACAATTTTATCAACCTCAGTCACAATATCTAGATCTATTCGAATCCATTCAAAGAAAGAGAGAAAAAAATGGTGAGTTGATACATGTCAGGACTTTCTAAACACCTTAAGAGTAAAGTGGAAAGGTCATTTGAAAGACTGTACTGAAAAAAAATGTACCCCATCCCTAGGTTCACATAAGCAGGTCAAACATGGAGTCCAAATGTCTACATTTTTAAGCAAGTCTCTCAGGTGTTGTTCCTCCTAATGAAGGGGGTCCTCAGGTGCCCCTCAGTTAGAAGTAGCATTTTGAGATTAAAAATGTTATTACTTACATGTGCCACAAATGAGCTGTACATTATGCTCGCTTTGACCATTCTTACTTTAATATTTATAAATTATAACCTATAAAGTGAAAATATGTGACTAAAAATTTCCTTTATGTTATTTTCCAGCTATTAGAATATTTCCCCTTCATTTTTAATAGTCTTGTTTACCTGAAAATAGGTCTCCAAGATTGTAACTACATGTTTTGGTTTTCTTCATTGCTGAGAACAGTTCTTCACAAAGGTTTTCATGGTTTTCGGAGTTGACTTTATTTTCTGATATTTCATTTTCTGATTTTTCAGATTGGGTGTCAGACTCATTAAAGTCTTCTTTAGAATTTTCTGAAGAATCACTTTCAGCAGGAATTCTCAAGTGTAGATTGACTTCAAATATCGCTGCACATATTTTTTTCTTATCCACTTTATCACTAATGAAAATCTAAAATAACAGATATATTAGAATGCCAGTGACTATATATAACTGAAAGTACATTTACTATAACACAGGACTAAATTTTCAATGATAAATAGTAACTTTATTATAACTGAATAACATCATATTACCATACAGGTGATATTTGGATGTTCAAAAAAGTAAATTAATGTGAAATAAATGGAGTATTACAATGTAATTCCTCTAAATGTAGTTTAATATTATGATGTAGTTTTCCCCAAAACACTAAGTAAATTGATGCTAGAGTGGTTTGATATTAACAATTTGAGAACTTATTAAAAATGCAAATTCTTAGACCCTATCCCTGGAGATATAAAGAGTAGACAGACATTCACTTTTAAGATATTGAAAATATGTGCAATGTTTTTAATATTAGTAAATATTAGTTGAGATAATTTACATGGTTTATTCATTCAGCTCAAATTTTTAACTTGGGCTTATTTTACCACAGTGTTTCAAATTATTTTACACCTGCCTTTAACTCTGCCTGAAAAGGAATTCAGAAGATTCACATGAAATACATACTTTGACCTTCTAAGAAATGTGTATTTGTATATGTCTTGTCAATTTGTATATGTCAATATAAGGAAGTTACAGTTTTGAAATAAACTTTTACTTTGGAAAAATAAAGTCTTTGAACCACATGAGAAATGATATACAAGAGTTTGCTTAATTATACTTGACATGGTACATGTGCAGCATATTTTTGCAGGTAAAATGTATATTATAAATACAACGCATATATTGTACAAAGTCTGGAGTGCAAGAAAATGCAGTCATAAGAAGGTAAAATGTATCTAGATCCCTATCATCCAGCTAGCCACTGTTATTTGTTGAATATATTTTCAAATTTCAATCTATAAAAGTGTGGATATTTGCTTTTAGGTACTATTCATGGACATTCTCCCTTATTACCAACTCAACATAAAATATTTTAAAAGAAAAAATACATAAAGTACATATTACATAATACTATTAAAAAACACTACTTGTGCTAAATAGGATCAATATCTGCTATACAAATTCCAAGAAAATAATGCCAGGGTGGGGTAGACAATTCTTCATGGCAAGATTTCCTAATGAAAGTTTCTCAGTGATTCTCTCAGCATTTCATATTTAGCTTTTGTCATTTTTAGGTGCTCTGAAGAAAAGCAAAAAGAATTAGAGAATATAGAAGGGGCGCAAGAAAGGATGGCCACTACTTTAGGTAACAATTCCCATGTAAAGGGAATTCTCTTATCTTCCTTTACTTTTCTTTATTCATAGTAGTCATCTCTTCATTACCTGTCTCCCTCAGTAGAATATAAACTACAAAAGGTCAGGGATTTTGTTCTGCCCATTGCTGTGTATCAGTGCCTCCTTCAATAACTCCAGAACAAAGAAACAAATGAAATAAGCATAATAATAGTTTTCTATAAAATGGGAGTGTGTGTGTGTGTGTGTGTGTGTGTGTGTGTGTGTGTGTGTTCACATGCACACACGTGGGGAAGGGCAAGAAATCTTGAGTATTAATCATAAATCACATTTTTAATTCTAAAATGTCTAATTCATTTTACATTAAAAATCTGTGCTGGGCCTCCCTGGTGGCACAAGAGGTTAAGATGCAGCCTGTAAAGCTGTTTGCAGCCACTGCAGCACAAGTTCGATCCCCTGGCCAGCTAGGGAGGTGACCCACATGGTGCAGTAGACCTCTCCTGTCTCACCTGCTGTTCCCCTCAGCAGTGTATTTCAGTCAGTCTGCCTGTTCTGTTTCCCACTCTGTCTCTGGTGAATCCTCTCACCCCCCACACCTCTGGCTTGTACCCCAGTTCTTGTCTGCATAAATAAATAAATCTTAAAATAAATAAATAAAATAAAAATCCATGCTTAATGCAGCCAACTTCATTCTAATAACAAAACCAAACAAACACAACATACAAAGAAGAAAATTACTGACCAATCTCCCTAAAGAACACAGACACAAAAATCCTTAATAAAATCCTAGCAAACCAAATCCAACAATGCATTAAAAAGATCATGCACCATGACTGAGTAGGACTCATACCAAAAACACAAGGATGTTTCAACATATGAAATCAGTCAATATAATTCACCACTGACAAAAAGAACTGAAGAAAATAATACTCAAACCCATATGGAATCACAAAAGGCCCCAAATAACAAAAGCAATCTTGACAAAGAAGAAGGAGAATGGAAGTATTATACTTCCAGACCTCAGGTTATATTATAAAGTCATAATAATTAAAACATTCCTGTGTGTATGGAACAAAAACATACACACAGACCAATGGAACAGAATTGAGGGCCCAAAAATAAACCCACACATATATTGACAATTAATCTACGACAAAGGAGCCAAAAACATACACTGGAACAATGAGAGGCTCTTCAATAAATGGTGTGGGAAAACTGGACAGCTGCATGCAAAAGAATGACACTAGACCACTATCTCACACCAAGCACAAGAATCAATTCAAAATGGATCGAAGACTTGGAAGTAAACCCTGAAACTTTAAAACACATAGAAGAAAACATAGGTAAAATGTTTCATGATAATTCTTACCTCTTTTTTCATCTTTGCACAATGTATGCATTTTCTTTTTGGATATATTCCCCATACAATTGCACACCCCCCCTTATTTTGACTCTAGTCCTTCCTTTCCCCGCCCTTCCCTTCCCCCCTCCAAAAAATGCTAAGATTATATAACCTGAAATTTTCAGAGGTGACTATCTAAGTTTCAATTATACAAGTTCATCTATCTCCTGGAAACTTAATGTTCCTTTTTTTAAATAGTAAATGCAAAAATGTTTTCATAAAAAAAAATGTTTCATGATAAAAGCTTTAGTGATTTAGGGATTTGTCCCCAAGAGCATGGAAAACAAAAGACAACATAAACAACTGAGACTACAACAAGCTAAAAAGCTTCTGCACAATTAAAGAAACCATCATTAAAGCAAAAAGACACCCTACTGAATGGGAGAAAATATTTGCACACCATACATCCAACAAAGGACTGATATCAAAGATATATAAAGAACTCATAAAACTCTACAGAACAACCCTATCAAAAATGGCTCCTCTCCAGGGCCTCCCCGGTGGCACAGCGGTTGAGCACTGGGTTGCGAAGCTGCCCGCAGCCTCTGCAGCACCGGTTCAATCCCCGGCTGTTCCCCGGCCACCGGAGGAGGGTCCCACATTGCGTGCAGACCTCTCCTGCCACCCACTGCTCCCCTCAGCAGTGTACTTCGGTCCTTCTGCCTGCTCTGCTCCCCACTCTGGCTCTGGTGAATCCTCTCACCCTCCCGCGCTTCTGACTGTACCCAGTGCTTGTATAAATAAATAAATAAATAAATAAAAATAAATCTTAAAAAAAAAAAAAGGCTCCTCTCCAAAGAAGACATTAAAATGTCCAGAAGGCACATAAAAAATGTTCACAATTACTTATTATTAGAGAAATACAAATCAGGACTACCATGAGATACCATTTCACACATGTGAGAATGGTCCATACCGAAAAGATCAGAAATGACAAATGTTGGCAAGGCTGTAGAGAAAAGAGAACCCTCCTACACTGCTGGTGGAAAAGCAAACTGATCTAGCCCTTATGGAAGGTAGTATGGAGGTGTTTCAAAACATTAAAAATGGATCTTCCATTGGACCCAGTAACTCCACTCCTAGGTATTATACCCCCAAAATTCAAAAACATTATTTCAAAAGGAAATTTGCACTCCCATGTTTTTTGCAGTGCTGTTTACTATAGTTGAATTATGGAAACAACCTAAGTGCCCCAGAACAGATGAGTCAGTTGAGGGGATCAAGAACATGAGATATATATATATATGTGTGTGTGTGTGTGTGTGTATGTATTTTTATATATATATATATATATACAATTACATATATATGTATATATATTGCATATATGTAAAATACATATATACAAATATATATGTATGTGTTTATATAAAGTATTTGTTTTTACATACATACATATGGAATATTACTCAGCAATCAAAAAAATAAACTCACGCTATTTGTGGCATGAGCTTCAATAGATAATACTAAGTGAAATAAGTCAAAGAAGAAGAAGAAAGATAAATAATGGATGGTGTCACCATATGTGGACTATAAAGTAACTAAACTAAAAGTCAGATAAAGACAAGCTTAAAAACTAACCCTTGATAGCTGAATACAGAATTGAAGCACAAAGGTGGGAGGGTAGGAGAGGGTGAGAACAGAAAGGAAGGAAGCAGGTGGCCTATGGTGGTGGAATGTGGGTGAGTTGGTGGTGGGTACACAAAGATGGTAATATCTGATGGGTATCACCTCCCAATATTACCTCAATTAAAAACAAGTATTTTTTTTAATTTTGTAATTTTTTTTTAATTTGTGTTTATATTTTCTAAAGACCATTTTACCTCATCAGTATACGTTTCTGGTTTTACTTCTGACTTTTGAAAAGAAGGTGATTTTGAATTAACAAATTCTTCATAATCATTTGTTATCTTTTCAGCAGAGGCAAAAATATCCTTGTATTTTCTAGATTAAGAAATGGGAAAGAAAACACCAGTCTTTTTAAATTCTTATATTTCATTAATGTCCAGAACACATTAATAACTAGACATTCCTCCAAAGAAGATATGCAGATTGCCGGTAAGTACATGAAAAAATTGTTAGCACAACTTAATCATGAGGAAAATACAAATCAAGACCACAACGCAACACCACTTCACACCAGTCAGGATGACTATTATTTTAAAAAATGGGAAACAATGTGTTGATGAGGATTAGAAAGCTGGTGCTTTCTTTGCTAGTGAGAATTAAAATGGTACAGCTATTAGGAAAGTTCTTCAAAAGTCAGATGTGGAATTACCATTTGATCCAGCACTTCACTTCTAGGTAAGTAAGCAAAACAATTGAAAGCAGGAACTCAAACCTATGTTCACATTAATGTCCATAGCATCATTATTCATAGTAGTTAAAACAACCCAAATGTCATGAATAGATGACTGTATAAATAAAAGGCAGCATATACATACAATAAAATAATCAGCCTTAAACAGGAAATTCTGACACATGCTAAATACAGCAAGGATAAGCCTTGAAAATTTTATGCTGGGTAGAAGAGTCAGACTCAAAGGACAAATATTTTATGATTCCACTTATATGAGATACATAGAATACATAAACTTGGACTCAGAAAGCATAACAGAGGTTACAAGGGGTGTGCACAAGGGGTGTGTAGAACGTGATGTATGGGGAATAAGGAGCCATTATTTATTGAGTACAAAGTTTAATTATAGAATGATGGAAAAGTTCTAGAAATGGATATAGTGGTGGTTGTACAACATTATGAATGTACTTAATACCTCTGACTTTCACACTTAACGATGGTTAAAATGGTAGCTGTTATGCTGTATATGTATTTTACTTCAATGAAAAATCATATATCCCATTTCATTAGGACGAAAAAGTAAAAATACAAGTGTTAATGGGACAGTAGGAAAAGGAAGCATTTTTATGAAAAATTAAGGACTTAAAAATACATACTAGTATTTGTATGTAATTTTAATCATAATTGTATTAGGTAGGTGGAGAATTAACAAACTGAAAAAGTATAAACAATCTAAGACATGAGAATTAGAAGACATTTTACTGAATCTACGAAAGTGGAACAATTGGAAAAGAAAAAGAAAAAATAACAAAGTGAAATAAATAGCATAAATAAAGTGGAAAGAATAAAATCAAAGTATACCAGTTATTACTAAATGTGCATTGGTTAAACTTCCCTATCAAAACACAGAAATTGTCACAGTGGGTTAAAAAGCAAAAATCAAATCATGTTATTTATAAAAGGGACATCTAAAACAAGGTGGAGTAGTAAGTTTGAAAGTATTAAGAGTTTCTGAGAAAATGGCACAGAATCACTGTTTTTTTTTTTAATCTTTCCAACTACCTCATAAAAATCAAAGAAAGAAACAATTTGAATAGGAATGTATCTATTAAAGAAATCAAATCACTAATTAATAAACTTCCAAAACAGAAAGTACCAGGTTCAAATGCATGTGTTTACTAGTGAATTCTACCAAGCATTTAAGGGGGAAAAAGCAGACGTTTATTCTATGAGGCCAGTACTATCCTGAAGCCAAAATCAGACAACAAAGAAAACTAAAGAATATCTGTTATGAATACAGATGCAGAAATCCTCAACAAAATATAAGCAAAAACAGACTGGTTGCATACACAAAGGATTGTAAACATAAGGGTAATACATTACATTATGATTATAAATTTCTTTCATAAGTCAAAAAAGTATGATTTACTTGATGAGACTTTCATTCTTTTTTTCCATTGAAAATTTTATTCTGGCAGAATTATCAAATAATTTCAGAAGCAGTACAACTGCTGTGTTCATTAGTTGACAGATGAGTTCCTGAAATATGTAGTCAACCAGCTTCAAAAACCTCAATACTGTTTCTAAAAAACGTCGATATTGAGGTAGCTTGAAATGGGTTCTGTCATCTTCAGAGAGTTTTGACTCAAAATATTCTTTAATATCTTTCTTTTTTGCCACCTACAATTAAATAAACAATTGAAAGACAAGTGATGATTTACTATATTGATATAGCATGATTTCTAACTTAAAGAATTTTTTTCTTGTCTAAATAACATGTTAGAGCTAAACATTTCAACATCTGTCATTGTTCATCAACAAAGAAAACAATTTGTGTTTTGAAGCCTATGAAATTTGGTACCTTATTTATAAGCAGGTAAGAATTCAAGTGGGAAATACATACTAATGAACATCGACATATTAAGACACAGAGGAATACTCAAATACATCAAGAGTTACTAACAGGAGAGTCAAGTTTAAATACAAAGTTTCCTAAAACCCAATCCAATTCCACTCCCTCATGGTAGGCTAACACAACTAGACTTCATATGGGCCTCCCTGGTGGCACAAGGGGTTAAGCACTGCACTATGAAGCAATCCGCAGCCTCTGTAGGATGAGTTTGATCCCCAGCTGGCCAGGGAGAAACCCACATGGCGAAGCAGACCTCTCCTGTCTCACCCGCTGCTCCCCTCAGCGGTGTATTTCAGTCAATCTGCCTGTTCTGCTCCCCACTCTGTCTCTGGTGAATCTTCTCATACCCCGCATCTCTGGCCTGTACCCCAGCTCTTGTATGCATAAATAAATAAATCTTTAAAAAAAAAAAAGAAACATATATATGCTATGTAATACAAAATTAAGAAAAAGTTTAAGTTCAAGTTTGAGGTTAGTTTTATTTTTTAAGTAATTTATCTCCTAAGACAATTGACTGAGTACATTATTGGAGAATGACATGCTTTGATACAAAATACAAGGCGTCATCAGTACAACTGGTGCTACTAAATACTTCCAAATACTTATAAAAATAATCCTGAAATTACTTGAAATGATTCCTTTTAAACACATAAACATTTGTTTTTATTATTAATGGAACTTTAGATCTGAAAGCATTTTCAATTTTTTGCTATTTATGTGTTGTTCACACTTGTTTTTTCTTTTTTGCTTCAAGGGTATGTTAATACTTGGTAGGTCAACTTGTATTCTAATTTTTAAAAACATAATTTCATTAGTTTTTATGTTGCAACTATTTGTGTTTCATTTTATTCATTTGTATATTCTTTTTTTAATAAGTTAGTTCAGCTGTTTACCATTTTGGCAAATTTTTTCCATTAAGTGTACCTGGACGGACGGTTTGCCAATATAATGCAATATGATATTTACTGACCAATAGTTACTTGAAGAAACTGTTTGTCTATTTGATTGTTTGTTTGTTTGTTTAAAAAAAAAGGTAGACCTCCAACAATAAATATATAGAGGAAAGCTTTGGCAATATGTTCCATGACATCAATGATTAAAATGTTTTTAGAGACTCAGCCCTTAACATGAGAAGTAAAAGCAAAAATCAACAATTGTGAAAGAAAATATAAGTAGAAAAAAAGACATCTAACTGAGTGGAAGAAAATACTTACACCTCAAAAAACAAACAAGAAACTAATGTACAAGATACATTTTAATAAAGTATACAATTCAACAATATAAAAACAAACAATCCAATTAGTAAATGTGCAGCAGATCTAAACAGACAAATCACCAAACAGTATATCCTGAAGGTGAGCGGATGTATGGAAAAATGTTCAGCATAACTTTTAATAAAGGAGATGCAGGTTGAAACCACAATAGGATAGTATCTCACACCTGTGAGAACAACACACACACACACACACACACACACAAAAAAAAAAACACAAGTTTTACAAGAATTATGTGTAGTAAGGCCTCTCTGGTGGTGCAAGGGGTTAGACACAACCTATGAAGCTATTGGCAGCCACTGCAGCACGAGTTCAATTCCCAGCCAGGGAGCTACCCACATGACACAGCAGACTTCTTCTGACTCATCCATTGCTCCCCTCAGCAGTGTATTTCAATCTGCCTATTCTGTTTCCCACTCTCTCTAGTGAATCCTTTCACACACATACCCAAACCTCCCTATCTCTGGCCTGTATCCCAGTTCTTGCATGCATAAATAAATAAATCTTTAAAAAAAAAAGAATTATGTGTAGTAAAGCAAGTCAGAATCACAGACAAATATGGAACTTTTATATAACATCATTCAACAAAGTAAAATATGTATAAAATCTGTCATTAATAAGTGAAATGGGGTTTCTGAGGTTAAGAGGGATAATGCAGGGAGAAAGGATCAAAGGGGATAAAAGGGTTGATGGTAGGAAAAAAATTGTAAGACAAGGCATTTTCTATATCAATTAAGAGCACAGTCAACCTGCACCTGGCTAATGGAATACTAACTTATTTAAAGGGTGATGTTTTTATTGAAAAGGTTATATTTTATCAGGACTGGTCACATGACTTGGAAGCTTTATGTGCATAACATAGATTTTTAACTGATAAAATGGCAAAGCTGAGCCTGTTAACTATTCAAAATAAAAAATTTTAGCATTAATACCAAAACAGCTTTAAACAGTCTAATAATTTTATCAATACCAAGATACAAGTGATATGCCTATAAGGACTGCTCTTTTTAATGAATGTCAGTGGGGCTGGTGGAAATTCTGGCACTTAATAGCTAACTTATTCTCTATCAACACAGGATAGATTTTGGATTAAGCAGATCTCAATTCTGACTCCAGGTTTACCTCAATGGTGGAGGCTCTCAGTTTCCATTCAGTTCGCTCATAACTGTTATGTTTTCACACAGTAATTAGAGCAGTTAAGTCTGGTGAGACTCGGAAGCCATAGCTCACATGACAACAATGAGGTTTCAGCAGCTATCAGGACACCTGCGGTTGACCCAGCCACTGATTCCTGCCCTGGCACTCATAACTACACATGTATCTCCAACTTGCTCCTGCAATGTGGGCACCTGCAAATAGACCCAACAGCTAAGTGTGTGCACACCACCAATTTCAGCCACCACCAGTACTTGCTTGGGTCTGCAGATGCTGGATCTGGAGGCATCAGCAAGGACCCCAACAGTTTACAGGTTTTGAAAAATAATCAAAAGCTCTCAGTATCAAAAAAGCCCAAATCCTTGGTGAAGTCTACAAAACATTTAAAGAAGTACTAATACTAATCCTTCCCAAACTCTTCCAAACACTTGAGGAGAAGATTATACTCCCAAACTAATTTTACAAGGTCAGCATTACTCTGACACCAACAATCTAAATAAGGACACAGTAATAAAAGACAGCTACAGACAACATCCCTGATAAATGTAGCCACAAAAATTCTAAACTACTAGCAAACTGAATTCAACATTACACCATGATCAGGGCCTCCCTGGTGGCACAGGAAGTTAAGCGCAGCACTGCGAAGCTGTCAGCAGCCTCTGCAGTGCGGGTTCAATCCTGGCCAGCCGGGAGATACCCACATGGCGCAGCAGACCTCTCCTGTCTAGCCCGCTGCTCCCTTCAGCAGTATATTTCAGTCAGTCTGCCTGTTCTGTTCCCCACTCTGTCTCTGGTGAGTCCTCTCACCCTCCCGCACATCTGGCCTGTAACCCAGTTCTTGTATGCATAAATAAATAAATCTTTTTTAAAAAAGAATTTAAAAAAATTACACCATGCTCAAACAGGATATGTCTCTGGGATGTAAGAATGATTCAACCAATACATATCAGCAAATGGGATACAAGCCCTTAATTGAGAAATAATGATCATGATTATAATAGATAGGAAGAAACATTTAACAAAATACAACATCCTTAGAAGGAAAAAACACTCAACAAACTGGGTATAGAGAAAACATACTTCAATGTAATAAAGGTCATATATGACAAAACCACAGCTAACATTATACACAACGGTGAAAGGTTCAAAGTTTTTCCTTTAAGATCAGGAACAACACAAGGGTCCCCACTCTCCTATCAACATGGTACTAGAAACAATCCAGTCAGAACAATCAGATGAGAAAAGGAAATAAGGCATTCAAATCAGAGAACAACATTTTTCAGCATTTAAATATCAAATATCATAACAAAATAACAAGTAAAATCAGTAAAATCACTCTGAAAATGGGGAAAGTTCCCTAACTGATGCCATAGGACCCAGCAACTTAGTGGTCTGCTGGCTACATTAAAGAGCAGTGTCAAAACATGAGCCTCTGTTTGAAAGCGAGCAGCTAGAATTGTTAGGGGGAAAGGATGTCCTGAGCAAATTCCATGCAGGCTTTGTGGACTCCACAGACCAAAGCCACTCCAGACCAAAGCCATCAAGACATTGGGAAAGACAAACCCCATCACCACCAAAGGGAAGGTGGCTGGGACCTGAGGGTGGAGTTAAGCAGCCAGGTTTGGTATAAAAACCAGACACGTGGGCCTTGGGGGGGTCGCTCTCTCCCTCGCCTCCTGGCTTCACGGCTCCTGGCTCGCGGCCAGCTCTCAGAGTGCCATTTGGGATTCCAGATCGGCGGATCGGGTAGGACGCATTTAAAACTTTGTCTCCCACTTTTCTTCCTGAGTTGTACATTTCCTCATTTGCCCTTCCCTTGTAAATAAACCTTTTATTAACCTTTCGCGTGTGCCTGCAGTAGAGTATTGATAAGTCCTTTTAAGTGCACGGGTGAGGACCCACAGTCAGGCAACCCGTTTTGTATCAGGGCTGCCCTATAACAGTTTCTGTATCTAGTAAACGCGCAATACTATTTGGTTGGCTAACCATCTTTGTCCCTCTAATAGCTCATTTCCAACCCTTTTTCCAGGATTGAAATTTCAAACAATTACTTTAGTCAGTACAAAAAATAACCTGATAAAGAGAATAAAAAAATATTACCTTTAAAAGTGTACTTTTTATTTCTGATATTGCTTTACTCCTGATATCTTTAAATTGTTTCAATGCCTGGATAGCTTGCTGTGATTGCTCTTCACAGAATTCCTCCAGAGAATATGTTCGAGATCTATCCAGCTTATTAAATAAAAGCAAATGTTGAGTGTTGCAAGATAAAAATTCATTTACAAGTATATACATATACATATGTATATGCATATTTTTGGTCATCTCCTCAAGTAATAAAGAGCATATTTTATATTTTGTGTTGTATACATTAAGTTTTATATACTACTACATGCATTACACATTCTTCAAATTCCAAAGCCCACAGTTAAATCTAAAACTAGATTTCAAAAAAGACAGAAAAATAATTATTATTTAAATTATAAGCACAAGTCACAGAAATTACTTTTACCTTTAAAGTACCAATTATTTGTAAAATGTAAAAATATGAGTATTAAATGTAGGATGAAGAGGTTAAATTAAATAATTCAAATTAAATAATTCAAATAAGATAACTTCTATTCTGAATGCATTCAGAGTATACTATGGAGAAATTTCCATCAACTATGCCAGTGAACTCTGCCGCTGGCAATACAGAAACAGTGTTTCATTCAATCATGCACATGCCATCACTCTTCCTCCTTTCAGGATTTTTGTTTGTCTACTCTGTGTTAATCCTTTTGCCAAAATACATTTTCATCCATAAGTACATGCAGACATCTTTCTCCCTAATGATAGTATAATACTTAAGTGTATGCTTCCAATTTTTTTTTTAAAGAAAAAGATTGAAAAGTACTACACTAGTCTTAAAATTTTGTATTAACTTCGGGGTTTTTTTATAATTAAATTTTTTTCTTAAAATTTTTTGGTCCCCAGGGCCACCCCTGGTGGCGCAGAGGTTGAGCACTGGGCTGCGAAGCTGCCCACAGCCTCTGCAGCGCCAGTTCGATCCCCAGCCGCCGGCGAGGGTCCCACATGGTACGACAGACCTCTCCTGCCACGCCCGCTGCTCCCCTCAGCAGTGTACTTTGTCAGTCTGCCTGTTCTGCTCCCCGCACTGGCTCTGGTGAATTCTCTCACCCTCCCGCACTTCTGACTATACCCAGTGCTTGTATAAATAAATAAATAAATCTTTAAAAAAAAATGTTTTGGTCCCCATAGTTCTCTTCCTTCACCATATTCCCTGGTGTTCATCCCTCACCTGTTTTGTCCCTCCCCGACCCTTCCTTTGCTGTCAGCTTTTCTAGGGTCAGCTTGCTCCCTCTCCTGGTCACATATCTAGTTAGTAGGCCCTGATGTATCCAGTAAAATATCTCAAAAACTCCCTTCCTTTCTGATTTCACTGTCAACTCCCTAATTGAAGTCTTTGTTGCTTACACCTTCGTTATTCTAGCACTGTACTAACTGATCTCTCTAACTACATCTGCTCACTTTCCATTTTCCCTACAAACCAGTATCACTTAAATTTTCTTGAAATAACATGTTTAGTAACTTTCAATAGTTGTTCCTTAAGAATAGTTCTCAATTCTTACTCGCATTAAGAATCACTTCAGAGACTTGTGAAAAATGTAAATTACTAGCATTACTTGTTGCACCCTCCCCAAAAGGAATGGGAGACAAAACCTGTATTTTTATTAAGCACTCAAAATACTGTCCAATAAATAACTTATAATTGAATAGGAAACATGATGAAAAGTGCCAACTCTTTAGCTGATTCTCTAGCCTTGATAGGTCATCATCTCTTGAGAACTGTAATTAAAAGGTGAAAGTTGGGAGTCCAGCCCTCTGAAAGAGGTGTTTTCACCCCAGTGGAATCTATCAGCACATATGGACTCCATTCATGACACCCACTTCTGAACAATCATTTAATGTGTTGCTTCATTCTCCTTCCTTCCTCACCGCTAATCCCTCACTGGCATCTGTATCACCAGAAGACACTGGCACACTATATATGCACAATTAGCCACCTTCTTATTCTTGACCCCAGTCTCAGGTCCCTGGCTTTGAATCGTTGTTCTTCCTCCATATGACTCTGGCTTCTCCACAAATAGTCTCAGAAACTGCTGCTCTTGGCACTCTATCCTAAGAACAACTCCCACAAAAAAAAAAAAGAGTCCCTTAAGGACAGATTCAAATCCTATTTTCCCCTTAATCTGTTATTCTTGACCTGACATTCAAGATGCAACCTAACTTTCAAATCAAGCATACATTGAATATTTTGTTCACATTCCTATTTCTTATTTGGCTGCCCTATCTCTACCTCCCAACTTTACTTCAACTCTTCAACTCTAACATCGTGCAGTTCATAAAATCCTCCATGGAGCATAGTCTAACTTGAACTCCAAAGAAGGCTAATCTCTACTACCTCTCAATCCTCTCAATTTCTGTGACCAATAAATATTCCTTGCTTTATATGTTGTTCACTGTTTAGCTAGAATAATTAGCAAAATGGAGGAACTACCTCTAGAAGTAGATATATTTATATAAAGCATTATCTCTTCCAATAATCAATAAATGGATTGAAAATAGAAATGCTTTTGTATCCATTTCCTTTGCACATCTCTTTGCATAAAATAGATAATATGCGTATAGCTTCTGAAAATCTTTGTCCCCTTCCATTTGTTGTTTGGATGAAAGTTGATAAAGCCTAAAGAAGTTAGGAAAGAGCCCTAATATCCCTGCTCTGCCAGCTAGCATGAGCTAACTTACTGCCATCAAATTTATTGACAAATTCTATCAATTCACTCAGCCATTCATAAAAAAAAATCACGTCTGACCAATTTTCTTCTACATTAAAATTATCCAAAAAAAAACACCTTTGTGAAATGTCTCCTACCTAACTTGAATACTTTCGAAATATTACTGCTCTCAATTTAACTATATAAATCATACTTCCTTTGTAATGATTTTCATCTTTATTAATTTTCTCATTTAACTATTGGGCACCTACAAGTATCAGTTACTATACACAATCCTAAAAATAAGCTGTGATTTAAAAGCAGCAATCTTATTACATGTGCACAATCAATGTAAGTAATGTTGAGTTAACTGTCACATTTTAACTTGCCCAAGTCCTTTTATTTTCTTTCTAATTCTAAATAACTATCAATTTTACCTCTTAGTATTTCCCTCATATAGTAGGTAAGTGAGGTAAAAGCAACTAGAATCTTGTTCAATTGTACATTAAACACTAAATTTACAGTTTTATGTATTTAAATAGTTCTTTAAAAGAACTATTCTACATAAATTAAATCATTAAGAAGATCACCCTATTGTGGAAGAGGAAAATTTATAAATTTAATTCAAACCTCTGAGTTGCAAGTTATGAAAAATTTTGACCTGCTATACTGAGAGAAAAATAACTGGTAAATAGCAATTATGTATCACAGATAACTTATTTATAAAGAATATTGTACAAGGGCCTCCCTAGTGGTGCAAGGGGTTAAGCACAGCACTGTGAAGCTGTTCACAGCCTCTGCAGCACAAGTTTGATCCCCAGCCAGCCAGGGAGCTACCCAAATGACACAGCAGACCTCTCCTGACTCACCCGCTGCTCCCTTCAGCAGTGAACTTCGGTCAATCTGCCTGTTCTGTTCTCCACTCTGTCTCTGGTGAATCCTCTCACCACCCCCCCAACACCTCTGACCTATACCCCAGTTCTTGCATGCATAAATAAATAAATCTTTAAAAAAAAGACTATTGTACAAGTTCTGAAAATAAAGGGCCTCATAACAGACTTAGGTTAAATATGTGGGAGAAATTACAAGGAATGTTGGCAACTATTGAAATTCACTACACAAGGGAACAATGTTCTCTATATATTTTGCAAGATTAGCCATCCATAGGGATGGTCTCCTTATGGATCTAGAAATCTGTATTCCTCTAATTCAAACCATCATTTACTCTTTCTATTTTCTTTATGCCAGTCTTAGCTTATAGTAGGATACTTCTACCCACCTTTACAAGGCATATGGCAGATGAATTACCTTCATTTCCTTTACCATTTTGGGGATTAACTGCATCTTCACAAAGGCCCTTCACAAAAAACAAACATCCTAGAAATAACTCATCAGCCAAAAAAAGCTCGTGGGATAAAAATGACCTGAAAGTTAAAAATATCCCAATTTATCTCTTATTCAATAACATGAAATTCAGAGATAACTAGTATAATTTGTTTCATATACCCATAATTAATATGTATTACATATGCCACATTTTAAACGACACTGACAAAGCCTTAGTAAGCATTACTGATTTTGTTTGGTTGAGATTGCTGAAGGCATGGTTTGGTACTGGGTGTGCTGACTAAGAAAAACAACAGGAGAAAACAAGTGATGGTGTTACTCTGTAAACCAGTGAGTTCTAGTAATTTGGAATAGTAAGCAGTAATATCCAAAAGGAATTATATTTATTATTTATGAAGTTTAAGTAAATATCCTCAATTTACTAAATTCCCAGTTACAGGAAAAAAATAACTGGATTAGGGATCATTTGGAGAATGTTTCTTAAATTTGCCCATCACCTATATCCTAAATAGAGCAGAAGGGCCCTTTCATTTTTCTCTGCCCCTTTCTGCTGGTTTGATTATGGTGATGAAGGTGAGACAAATCATTGCTAACAACACTGGAATGAGGAGAAAAAAAGCACTGAATGAGAAATAAGCACATCGTGGATAGAATTGGAGGGAATATTTCTAAGTGAAATAAGCCAGAGGGAGAAAAACAAATTCCAAATGATTTCCCTCACATGTGGAATACAGAGAAACAAAACCAAGGAAGTCACAAAACCAAACCAAAACAAAGCCTAGAAATATGACTGCAAAATTAGGGGTGCACTGGTTCTTCACAGCATTACAATTTCTTTATACCAAGAACAGTACACTACGAAATAGAGTGTTTATATATGTTTATTATTTATAAGATTAATTTCCTTTTTTAAATAAGGTGGGTTAAATTTAATCATAAAGGCTATGGAATGTGGCTTTCAAACCATTGAGTGAAAATTAATTTATATCTGCTTCCATATTGAATATTTAAAATAAGGATTTTTTTCTCTTGAAATTTTTATTAAATATATCACATATCAAAACTTACATGCTTTGGGTCTCCCTGGTGGCACAGGGGTTAGGGGTTAAAGACACAGCACTATCAAGCTATCCCCAGCCAGCCAGGGAACAATCCACATGGCTCAGCAGACCTCTCCTGTCTCACCTGCTGCACCCCTCAACAGTCTATTTCAGTCAATCTGTCTGTTCTGCTCCCCACTCTGTCTCTGGTGAATCCTCTCATCCCCCACAACTCTGGCCTGTACCCCAGTTGTTGTATGCAGAAATAAATAAATCTTTAATAAATAAATAACAACTTACCTGCTCCTCTCTATCTTAATCCTTTTAATATTCAATTTCCAAGCAACAAATGATTTTTTAATTCTGAAACAAAAAAATACCTCTTATATTATGTATTTTATTCATAAATGTATTTTTATGTTTCATTCATCCTGAGTTAAAGTAAATATCAAATCATGCTACTTTTCCACCAAACAACAGAATATAGAGCAAAAGGCGAATGTATACAAAAGTCATTATGATTTCTATAGATGCGTAATTCATTTAGCTGCAATACTGCAACATTCCAATAAATATAAAATCTATGTAACCTATTATTTTCCCTTGCATCTTTATTGGCTTACTATTTCAAAAAGAGATTTATTGCAAGAAGACTCAAGATTCAATTTCAATTATAATGAAGATACATTGATCAGAAATCACTGTATTGTGTTAAGTAAAGAATTAGTTATTTTGATATTATGTAATAATCATTTTTTTAACGTATTTGTAATTTTAAAAACTCAAAGAGCCTACATAAAGCAGGAACTGGAAAGTTTCCCTGGTGATTATTCATTATCCTTTAACTTTCACACATGAAACACTTGTACTATTTCTGCAAATCTCCCTCAACTGTTCTAAATTGCCACCAACTATTTCATGCACTTGTAGGACTAATCTAGTGCCATATCATAATCCACCCCCACTCCCCCAGTAACTTTTCCATTTTTTTTTTTAATTTAGAAATGTTTAATGGTTACCAGAGGAAATAGGGGAAAGGATGGAGAGGGGAGGGGAACATGGCACATGGGGTATGGGCAGAGGTGGTCAGATGAAGGGAAAAAATTACAGAAAAAACATTTTTTAAAGAAATGGTTTTATGTGTAAATAATGTCTAGATGTTCTAATTCTCACAAATTTGATTTTCCAAAACCAAGTAGGTGTTATTTAAAAGAAAACCAAACAAACATTTAAAGGCACTGGGCTCCTCTGCTTCTAAATAATTACTAAACTAAAAAAATTAAACTTGTGCTACTAGGAATCTCAAGTTAGAATTAAGTATTTTCCAAAGTAGAAGTTAGAGTGTAGTGCCACTACAGAAACAGACAATTCAGCTCTCACCCCAAACATTCACAAATGCCTACCAAAACAGTTAAACTAGGTCAAAATAGTACGATGCAATTAAGCTCCAATACATGAGGCTATTATGTTCTTCTAAAATGATAATAAACCAAAACAAATAGATTTTACCTAAGGCTAACTGTCAAATAGCCTTCTACTGAGCCCCACCTTCTATAACATTAATAAAGGGAATATTATTTTTGAACATCACTAGCCATGAATTTTTGTCAATAATTATGACATAAATGCTACCAGTGCATTATCCAAGTGGCATGAGCATTTTATGCCCACAATTCACTTCTGCAGCTTCAGTATTTTCATGATTTATGTAAGTATATTTATCAGAAATGTTTACCAGTGAGATGCAGTCTAGCATCCATAATATCTGACATTTCTCAGATGTCAAAGCAGGAGATGTATTTGTAATCACCTTATGTAAAAAATAAATCAATAATTTATACTCTCCAAAGGAGGTTTTCAAATGCACTTATAAAAATTTGTTAGTGGGGTTTTTAAGAAACATCTTCATGTCCACATCCTGTTGTGATTTCTGCACCATTTTTCTTCCAACTGCTTTCCTTTGCCTGCAGGAGGGCCCAGATAAGATGGATGTTTTATTTGACTTCTTTGATGTCCTGAACTTTCTATAGTTCTTTATTTTTCTTCAACCTGTTCATTATCATTTTGGCTTGGCAATTCTGTTTGATCTCCTCAACTCTTTTCTTTGCATCAATAGCTTTATTTCATAGCTCTTGCTGATATTTGACAGATTCATTTCTAAGCTTTTGAAATTCAAATGAAGCTCTTTACCAGCTGCTTTCTAGAGTGCCTTTGTCCATCTGACTTTTTGAGGATTGCATTTCTTTTTAAAGTTTTTATGACACTTGGATTTACAGAATCTGAATATTCATTGCGGATGAATATCATATGTGGCCAGGATAGAAAGGCCCCAAACAGAAGTAACACTTCTACGAACTCATGTGGATACCCTCTGATCAGTTTTCCATTAATGAGAATAATCACTCTTAACCAACTGTAAGAGCCAGTGGAAAGAGGAAAGTGGCAGGGATAAGAGAGCTCCAAAGTCCAACCAGCCAGCCAATCTTAGTAATGTCATTGGCTAATTTTGAATCTAAGAAGGCAAGAGAACTGAAGCCATCCAAGCAGTTTAGAAAGAACCCCATCATACAAACAAGCACAACTGGAGTCTTAGAAATCAAAAATGCCTCAGACAAATCTAGTAGTTTGACAAATCCAGTAGCCTTCCTGATGGTAAGGCTCCAAAGAGGAGTTACAAATAAATTCTTATCACACTTTAATAGAGATTCACAGTATACCAGGAATCCAGAAGATTCCTGGAAACCCAAGTATCAGAGGGGAGCCCAATAATGGTGTAAGAAGCACCTCCGCCAGAGCACAGAAGTGAGCTTAAAGAGGAGAGGGGGACATTGGGCTACAGTAGAGGATTATTAGGGTACTAGTGGTGGGTGGATAACACATTTGTAGAGGTATGAACCTGTACCCCTAAAACATACACAGTATTGTAAACCAATATCTCAATAGACATAACTTTATGTATTTTTTTAAAAACCTAAAATTTGAAAATAGAGTAAATCTACAAGTTTAAACCTGACTAGAATTTAGTTACATTTGCCTTAACGTGATTAAAGAAAATGAATCATTTTGACTGTGGACTTAATGATGTTAAACATCATAAGAAGATAATTCTTGTCCCAGTTCCAGCTAGGTTTCAAAGGTTTAAAAATTAAACATTATAGAGTCAACTAGAGCCTGCAAATTTATACACCAGGACAAAGATCATGGTCCAACAGTTACAGAGTTTAAAATAGATATAAAATATAGCACCATGAATATCATAAGCTGATACACCAGAACATGCAGCCTCTTACCAGTACCAGCGTTACAGCTACACAACTAGTGAGTATTTTCTCCCAAGGTCCTATCACCTGGTGTCTGCTTAAATATCACATATCAGGCCATCCTATCTAAAGTAGCAACACACAGACAAACATGTTTGTCTCTGTGTTATTATTTTGCTGGTCCTTATCACTATCTGAAAGTATCATATTTGTTACTCATTACCCATGTCCCTCAACTAGAACATAAGTTCTCCAGGAACAGAGCTCTTACGTAGTTTTTTCATGGTTGTATCTCCAGTGCCCTTAACAATTGAACAAAGCAGGTACACATTAAGTATTTGTTCATTAAGTGTGAATACTTCTCTGCCACAGTTTGATTGACTTCTCTTACAGAAAAGTTCCTCAAGTTCTTAGTTATTTCAACAACTTGCCACATTAAATGCAACAATTAAAAAATGTTGTTTATCTCTTTTCCGAATCCCCAGCAAACAGTAGCAGGACCATAAGAAAAGACAGACTTTAAGGAGGAAAAAAAATCAAAACAAGTTTCAAAGACTGAAAGAACAACAGTCTGGAACTACTTTGCCAAGGATCAGTCTCAGGAATCCTGATGTAACATAATGCAGTGTAGTGTAAGGTAATGTAATCTAGAACTAGAAAAAAATTAAATGATGACCTTGAATCAACTCCCTAATTCTGTTTTATTTTGATAACATTACTCTCTATATGAAATTTTACATATTTACATATTTCTTTTATTATCTCTCCCCCACAATATTCTAAGTTCTTCAACAGTATGACAATTTTTGGTTTGCTCAATACTGGACCCCCAGAATCCAGAACAATGCCCAGTTCTTAGTGAACTCTCAGTAAATATTTAGTGAATAAAAGCATTAAAAACAAAAGGGAAATGAAGGTCATTATAGTCAATTTAAGTTTGCCTGATTATAAAGTATATTTTTATCTATAAAAGTTCTTACTTATCCAAAAACATTAACACTAAAGAGTTTCAATACTTAAATGGATAAGCTTCCTTTTTTTCCAAAACAAAATTGCCTCCAATACCCTTTTTTTTAATTTTTTTAATTTTATATATATTTTTTACATCGTTTTTCATTTTTGTTCAATGTATGCGTTTTCATCTTGGTTATTGTCCCTGTAAAATTCCCACCACCCTTATTTTGATCTTACTCCCTTCTCCCCCTCTGTAGTGTGTCTCTGGTTTATAGTTGCCTATTGATTTTGATTCCTTTATGTAAAAAATGTTTATGGAAAACTCCCACTTGTACTTCCCTATATACATGGCATTACTGTGTCAGAATCAGATGTTATCCAGGCAATTGCTATTTCAATACTACAAAAAGTTAGTTTCATTTATCTCACCTAAAATTGCAAAATATCTTGAATTTCGTCTGTAAAATATAGTAACATCTTCTTTCTAATAGCCATTCTGAAGTTGGTATGAGTTCTATTTCTTCTGCTTTACCTATTTTAACAACCTGAAAATATAAAGCACACAAAAAAAGAACTTTCATTAAAAAATACACACTATTCCCAAGAAATTAAGAAAGCCTATATTTGGCTCATAATTACTTGCCTTTATAAACAAGCTTTTTCTATATCTGACCTCATTTCATCTACATCCAAACTTTTTCATTAAACATTGCCTTTATACTTGTCATTTTCGTTTCTTTACAAATACATTTCAGTTTTAATAAGATTCTCTATATACATACATATGCTACTGAAAATTGCAATTGCACATCAAACATTTTATCACAATTCAAATGTTTGAAAGCCAGGAGATCTATTAAAACACCTTGCCCCAATTAGGCGCTAATCAAACCACCCAATAGTGGCTTACTTTCCTCCCACACAAGTTATTTTGCTCAAAGTTCCTGTGTTGCATTTCATCTCTCCAACCTCAGGCTTCTCTAAGTTACACAGACAAGACCTACCAGTACCTCCTGGAGTAACTGAAGACACTGAGGTCATTTACGTATAAGCAACATTAGGTTTCTTCTAAGTTATTGGAATGAAGTTAGAAAAGAGAAGCAAGAAAAAGACGTCACAGAACTTGTGTCGCAGGTTACAGAACACGGGCTCAGGGTCCCTCACAGCAATGAGCAGCTCTCCGAAGCTGCTGTGTAATGACCCCAGAATTACTGTCAAAAAAGGACAGTACAAGAATAAGGTTTTTTGCTTAATCGATTCTGTGTCATAATTTTCCTCCATGGCAATCTTCTCTTCAGGAAAATTCTGTGACACCGGCAACCAACAGCACAGTGATTGTTTTTTATTCTTTTGTCAGAGAAAATTGGTTGAGGATTGAGTATCTGATCTTTGGCCTCTTTCCCCTCAATTCTTTCTGAGCTATCATCAGTGTCCATGCTCCCCTCCCTTAGGGTGTGCCAGCCCCGGTCCCCTGTAAGATCTTTTCTTGGTGCTGCTGTTGGGGTGGATATTCAGGACAGGGAGCTTCATACTAGGTTGAGTCCAGTCACTACGATTCTTTATTAGCCCTTCTGAGGTAGGTTGCGAGGCAGCTGCATCTTCCTGGGAACTGTCTTCATGGACTTCTGAGATGACTCTGGGGTCAAGGCTGGGTTACACTTCTTTGATGACTCCATTGGAAGTCTAGTCATAGCTTGAAGCTCCTTCAAGGTTTCTGGGTATGGGCAGAAGGTGATGTTCCATTTATCAAAAAAAAAAAAAAAAATAGCCTGAAAAGAACTAGATAGCCCAGAAAAGAAAAAAAAATATTCAAACTCCAACATAGCTTGGTGAAAGAATGAACTCACTAGCCATTTTCTAATGCCATTTTTGTGCTCAAGAGAGAAAGACAAGAGAAACATTTTTTTCTCTCTGAAGTACTTTAAACAAAGACATTCATTTTTTGTCTCATAATTTTTATGTTTTCTATAAAAGTAATATTGATAATTTAATCTTAACTACAGGAATGTAATAATTCCAAATCAGTTAATAATAATCCTATTACCCCTTGACATTCAAAAATGACATGTCTTTCATCAAGGAATTCTCTCTTCCAAGAGTTGTTTTCCCCTATCCAAATGTTAAAGTTTTCTTAAATTTCTTCCAGAAACAAAAGTATGTACCTATGCATTTATGAACATATGTTATTTACATAGATGTTGTTCCATTTTCAGGTGATAACGCCTATTAGAGGTATTTCCAAATCTGCACACACAGGTCTACTTCATGTGCAGATGTGGCCTTGCCCACACATACTTAATTGGGAGTTTAGTTGGGAGGTTGGGATCATTAAGTGATCAAAACAAGAAACTGTATAATTATAACTTGTAATAAGTATTAAAGTACTGTGAACAAGCATTATAAGGGTATTTATACATCTGGGAATGAAGTTCTAATAAATCTGATTACACTGTTATCTTTACAGTTCCAACTATGCCAACAAATGTCTGTTTTCTAATTCTTTTTTAAAAACTGCATAAAATATTAATATTTGAGAAGGAAAAAATGTCTTAAAATTGAGTTCTCAAAGCTAAATATTTTTTAAAAATGAAGAAAATGTCATTAGTAAATATATTTTCCCAAGGAGATTCTTAAAACATAAATTCAAATGACCAAGTTTGTCTGAAATACACAAAAATAAATTTATCCAAATAAATTGTATACATTTCCATTTATTTCTGAAAGTTAGATACATCCATTGTATATTACCTTTGAGACAAATGAAGCAGTAATAATCCAAAATTCTTTGCAATGTCTAGCTTTATGGGCAGACACTACCTGAAGATCATAAGGATTATAAAGGACTTTATGACTTTTCCGAGGAAGGCAATATATAAATTCTCCATCATCTTTCAAAGGTTCCTGAGGTTAAAAAAATTTTTTTAATTAACTTGACCAAATTAAGTAAGAAGATAACTGAACAGATTACTCTGTAAGTAAAAATAACATTAATATATATATATAAAATATAGAATAAGAGAGAGACGTCATCAACATGGCGGTGCGGAAACGCTGCGAGTAAGACCTCCCATTAAAAAAAAAAGTTAATAGGGAGGAAAAGTGGCAGGTCCCCACAAGAACTGGGACACGGAAAATAAACAATAAACGGGCAACTCTGGCAAACTGCCCAAAGAAAAAAGTTGCCATAAAAGAGGACTAGAAGGGAGGAAAGCTCAGAACCCTGCTACCCTCCCCCACCCACAAAGTCGGCACTCTCTGACCAACAGGAAGGAGGAAAAAACAAAAACTAAAACAACCAACAAGAACAAAAAACGCATCAAGCAGGAGTGAGGGGAAAGGAACTATTTCAGCCACCGCACCCTGTGAACTGGAACTGTGGAGAACCATGCAGGATTCACCACGGAGGTGAGCGAATGGCTCCGGGTGCCATTGGAGAAAAATAAAAACTCCCAGGAGACCTACAAACAGCCCAAGGTCAGCCTGTAAGCTTGTGCGGAAAAGGAGGGCATTTGAAAAGCATACCCGGATCAGGGCTGCCCAGGTCCCTGCGCCTGTGACCTAGGCTTGAGGGGAGACGCACGGGGGCCCTCACTGAGGTGAATGTCCCTCACTGAGTAATCAGAAACCAGGCGCCCGGACACGGGAGCGGGGTGCAAAAGGCGCCATTTCTGCGGACACTGAACTGGGCTACAGCCCACTTCCTGGACCTGAGGGCTTTGGGAACTGAGACCCGGGGCATGAAATTCAGGCCATGGGATCCCCATGACGGTGGAGCACAAGGCAGACACAGCACCTCCACTCTATTGAGGTCCTCCAAGCCACTCCCACTCTGTGCCCCCAACACACGTGGTTAAAAACAGTTCCCCAAGGACACTAGGAAAGACCTCTGGCGCCACTTAGTGACCAGAAAAAAATCACCAACACCCTATAGTTGGAAACCTTGGATCACAAAAACACCCTCAGGCACTGAGAGAGGGTGAGCCACACAAAGGGGGCGGGGGCTAAGGAGGGAAATAAGGCCTGGAGCAAGACCAGGTGCACAGGGGAGTGCATACCAGCATCGCCATTTTAGAACAGGGACCTTTCTTCAATAAAGATTGCTTGAAACCAGCAGAAGGCTCCTGGCAGAGCCAGAGGTGAGCTGGGAAGTTTACCCACCCACGCCAGGCCCCTTCTGGCCAGCAGTCCAAGCCCAGAGTGGGAGCGGGCACCCATGGCCAGGGCAGACCTGGCGTGCAGGGGAGTGAGTACCCGCATTGCCTTTTTAGAATAGGGACCTTTCTTCAATAAGGCCTGCTTGAAACCTACAGAAGGCTCCCAGTGGAGCCAGAGGTGCCCTGGGAAATTCGTGCAAGCCAGGGCCATTTTGCCCAGCAGTCCAAACCCAGAGGGGGAGCAGCACCCAAGGCAGGGGTAGACTGGACATGCAGGGGAGTGCATCTCCACATTGCCATCTTAGAACAGGGAATTTTCTTCAATAAAGACTGCTTGAAACTGGGAGAAGGCTCCCCATGAATCCAGAGAGGGAAGGTTCCCTGCACAGTCAGAGAAGAGCTAAAGGCCCCGACAAGCCTAGTCCCACCTGGAGGAAATTGGAGCCCAGAGGGGAATCCAGTTTTTTTTTCGGAACCCAGGTGCAATCCAGCTGCGCCACCTCTAGGGAAGTTTGTGGGACTTCAAGACACACCTTTGTAATTAAACACAGAAGGAGGAAATATTCTGTGACAGTGACCATTAACATACTCAAAGTACCACTGCCTCACTAGACTTCTGGCATAACAGTATTTGACTTGTTTGGACTGCCAGTTTCCAAAACCCCACAAAGAGCACACCAAAAAGATGCTGGCCAGTACCAGCTGCACAGTGTCCTAACGCGTATGGCAAATTAGAAGACAGGCAGCAGGGAGAAGAAAAACTACATGCAACCTAGCAACTCCTCAGGAGAAAGACACACCACAAAAAGAAAACCACCCACCAGATGGCAAAGACAGTAACTAGGAAGAACTTCTGAGCCTTCCAGAAAGAGAATTTAAAAAGGCCATTATTAAAAAACTGACAGAAGTCATAAAGGAAAACAATGATAAGGGGAAAATAATCAATGATCAGAAGAATGAAATTGAGTCCTTAAAGAGGGAAGTAAAAGAAATGCACGAGATCAAAGAATTAATGGAGGCGCTAAAGAACACTGGGAAAAGCAATGAAAACAGAATAGATGAAATGGAAGAACGAATAAGTACTCTTGAAGACACAGAAATAAAAAGAACCAAAACAGAAAAGGAAGGAGAAGTACGAAGGAAAAAGACCAAAAAAGACTTCGGGAACTATCTGACTCCATGAGGAAAGGAAATATAAGAGTTATAGGAATCCCAGAAGGAAAGAAGAGAGATGTAGGAACAGAGAAAATATTCAAGGAAATAATTGAAGAGAACTTCCCAAACATGATGGAGCTGAAAATAGACATACAAGAAGCAAGAAGAACACCAAACTTCCATGAGGAAAGGAAAAATACAGCAAGACACATAATAGTAAAGCTCCCAAGAATCCAAGACAAGGAAAAAATAATGAAGCTGACAAGTGGGAAGAAACAGATAACATTCAAAGGAAAACCAATCAGACTGACATCAGACTTCTCTGAAAAAACACTACAGGCAAGGAGAGAGTGGAGGGACATAGTCAACAAACTCCAAGAAAACAAATGCCAACCAAGAATACTCTATCCCACAAATCTTTCCTTCCTCTATGAAGAAAGACTAAGGACCTTCCCAGATAAACAGAAACTCTGGAATTTCATTACAACTAAACCCCCACTCCAAAAAATAAAGCAAGGAGTCCTAAAGCCAGAACCAACAGAGGGACGAATAACAACGAAAGAAGGCCAAAAAAAAAGTTATTAAAAGAATAAATAAATAAAACCAGAGGAAAGACAAACACAAGGGCAAATACAGATGCTAACATATCATAATTAGATCTAAATGTAAATGGACTAAACTCTTCAATAAAAAGACACAGAGTTGCAGCCTGGATTAAGAAACAAAACCCAATCTTTTGCTGTCTCCAGGAAACACATTTACCTACAAAAGATAAAAATAGACTCAAAGTTAAAGGATGGAAAACAATCCTACAAGCAAATGGACCAAAAAAGAAAGCAGGAACAGCAATACTTATCTCAGATAAAACAGACTTCAAACTCATAAATGTAAAAAGAGACCCCAACGGTCACTTCATTATGATCAAGGGGACAATACTTTGAGAAGAAATAACACTCATTAACATATACTCACCAAATGAAGGAGCACCAAAATATATCAGACAACTATTATCATCTTTGGAAACAGACATCAGAGAAAACACATATGTAGTAGGAGACTTCAACACACACTATCAACAATGGATAGATCAATGAGACAAAAAATAAGTAAAGACACTAAAGCTCTAAATAAGGATCTAGAGCACTTGGGCTTAACAGACATCTACAGAACACTAAACCCAAAAAAATCTGAGTACACATTTTTCTCAAGCGCACATGGATCATTCTCCAGGATCGATCACATACTGGGACACAAGACAAACATCAACAGATACACCAAGATTAAAATCATACCAACCATCTTCTCTGACCATGAAGGCATCAAACTAGAAATAAACCATAAAAAGAAGGCAAGGAACTCTCCTACCTCATGGAGATTGAAAACCACACTACGGGAAGACAACAGGACTAATGAGGAGATCAAAGAAGAAATTAAAAATTCTTTGAGTTTAATGACAAGGAGGACATCAATTTCCTAAATGTATGGAATGCAGCAAAAGCAGTAATAAGAGGAAAATATATAGCAATAGGGGCTCACATCAAGAAACAAGAAAGAACTCAAAGAAACAACCTAATCTCAAAGCTCAAAGTACTAGAAAAAGAACAACAAAAAAACCCTAAAACCAGTAGAAGAAAAGAAATAATAAAGCCAGGGCCTCCCCGGTGGCGCAGCGGTTGAGCGCTGGGTTGTGAAGCTGCCCGCGGCCTCTGCGGTGCTGGTTCGATCCCCGGCTGTTCCCCGGCCACCGGAGGAGGGTCCCACATGGCGCACAGACCTCTCCTGCCGCCCGCTGCTCCCCTCAGCAGTGTACTTCGGTCCTTCTGTCTGCTCTGCTCCCCGCTCTGGCTCTGGTGAATTCTCTCACCCTCCCACGCTTCTGACTGTACCCAGTGCATGTATAAACAAAACAAACAAATAAATAAATAAAAATGCATAAATAAATAAAAACATGCCTCTATTAAAAAAAAAAAAGAAAGAAATAATAAAGCCAAAGCAGAAATAAATGAAATCGATATTAAAAAAAAAATCCACAAGATCAAAGAAACCAAAAGCTGGTTCTTCGAAAAAATAAATAAAATAGACAAACCCCTAGCCAGGCTCACAAAGGAAAAAAGGGAGAAAGCACAAATAAACAGGATCACAAATGAAAGAGGAGAAATCACAACGGACACAGCAGAAATCAAAAGAATAATCAGTAACTACTATGAACAGTTATATGGAAACAAGTTCAACAATCTAGAGGAGATGGACAAATTCCTACAACTCTACAATCACCCACAGCTAGATAAAAAAGAAATAGAACACCTAAACAGACCAATTACATGCAGCGAAATTGAAATGGTAATCAAAAACCTCCCCAAAATCAAAAGTCCAGGATCTGATGGACTTACAAATGAATTCTACCAAATATTCAGAGATGAATTAGTGCCTATCCTTCACAAACTCTTCCAAAAAATTGAGAAGGAAGGGATAATACCAAACACATTCTATGAAGCCAACATTACACTAATACCAAAACCAAACAAGGACAACACAAAAATAGAAAACTACAGGCCAATCTCTCTAATGAACACTGATGCAAAAATCCTCAATAAAATTTTAGCTACCAGAATCCAACAGTGTATCCATAAGATAATTCACCATGGCCAAGGAGGATTGATTCCAGGGACACAAGGATGGTTCAACATCTGAAAATCAATCAACGTCATCCAACACATCAACAAAAAGAAATATAAAAACCATATGATAATATCAATAGATGCTGAGAAAGCTTGACAAAGTGCAATACCCATTCATGATAAAAGCCCTTGAAATTCTTGGGATACAAGGAATATACCTCAACATCATAAAGGCCATCTATGACAAGCCAACAGCCAGTATCATTCTCAATGGTGAAAAGCTGAAAGCATTTCCATTAAGATCTGGAACAAGACAAGGATGTCCACTCTCACCACTGCTTTTCAATATAATACTGGAAGTCCTAGCCAGAGCAATAAGACAAGAGAAAGACATCCAAGGAATCCAAATAGGAAAAGAAGAAGTCAAACTATCACTATTTGCAGATGATATGAAAATATACATAGAGAACCCCAAAATCTCCACAGAAAAACTAATTCAACTCATCAATCCATTTAGTAAAGTGGCAGGATACAAAATCAACACGCAAAAAATCAGTAGCCTTCCTCTACACAACAATAAATCTGAAGAAGAAGAAATAAAAAAAAAAAATCCCTTTTATTATTGAAACAAAAAAAATCAAATACTTGGGAATGAATCTAACAAAGAGATAAAGGACCTATACAAAGAAAACTATAAAACACTGTTAAAAGAAATAGAAGAAGACACAAATAAATGGAAAGATATCCCCTGCTCATGGATTGGAAGAATTAACATCATCAAAATGGCCATCCTACCAAAAGCAATATACAGATTCAATGCTATTCCAATCAAAATTTCAATGACATTCTTCAAAGAAATAGAACAATTATTGATGAAATTCATAAGGAATCACCAAATAGCCCCCGAATAGCCAAAGCTCTTCCAGAAAAAAAAGAAGGGAATGGAGGCATCACACTCCCAGACTTCAAACTATACTACAAAGCCATAATCATCAACTGCATAGTATTGGAACAAGAACAGACACACAGACCAATTGAATCGAATAGAAAATCCATAAATAAACCCACAGATTTATGGTCAACTAATATTTGACAAAGGAGCAAAGAATATGCACTGGAGCAAAGAAAGTTTGTTCAATTAATGATGCTGGGAAAACTGGGTCGCTACATGCAAAAGAATGAAGGTGTTAGGTGTTAGGGTACTACCTCACACCATACACAAAAACCAACTCAAAATGGATTAAAGAATTAGACATAAGACCTGAACCATAAAATACATAGAAGAAAATATAGGTGAAACACTACGTGATATTCACATCAAAGACATCTTTACAGACACATCACTCAAAGCAGTGATAGTGAAGGCAAAGATAAACACCTGGGACTACATCAAATTAAAGAGCTTCTGCACAGAAAAAGAGACAATACAAAAACAAAGAAAAACCCCACCGACTGGGAGAACATTTTTGCACACAACACTAATGATAAAGGACTGATCACAAAAATCTACAAAGAGCTGATGAGACTCAACAAAAACAAAGAAAATAATCCAGTCAAAAAATGGGCAGAAGAGCTAAAAAGAAATTTCTCTGAGGAAGAAATGCAAATGGCCAACAGGCATATGAAAAAATGTTCAACATCACTTGTAATCAGGGAAATGCAAATCAAAACTACCATGAGATACCATCTCACACCAGTGAGAATGGCACATATTAAAAAAACTAGCAACAACAAATGTTGGCGAGGTTGTGGAGAAAAAG